CGAGAGATTGCTTGGCTTACTCCAAGATCAAGCCTGCAGTGAATCAGATAGAGACACACCCTTACTTCCAACGCGATTCTCTTGTCAAGTTCTGCCAGAAACACGGTATCTGTGTCACCGCTCATACTCCCCTCGGAGGTGCCACAGCCAATGCCGAATGGTTTGGCTCTGTGTCATGCCTGGATGACCCAGTTCTCAAAGTAAGCCACATCCTCTCTAAACCTTACAAGTTTGGAGTTAAAAGATTGAACCTTTGATAGCTAAAAAGGAGTGTGTTTGTCTGAATTCTTAGGATGTGGCGGAGAAGTACAAAAAGACAGTGGCACAGGTTGTCCTGAGGTGGGGAATTCAGAGAAACACAGTGGTGATACCAAAGACATCAAAGCCTGCAAGATTGGAAGAGAATTTTCAAGTTTTCGACTTCGAACTATCAAAAGAGGACATGGAAGTGATCAAGAGCATGGACAGGAAATACCGCACGCACCAAACAGCCAAGTTTTGGGGAATTGAGCTCTACGCTTGATCACACACACACACACTCTCACTCTCTCTCACTATCTATATGAATAAATGAAGCTTAAGAAGAGAAGAGTAACAGAGATAACTAAACCTTCTATCAAAAACCTAAGACCTCAAATTTTCGAATCTCAGCAGCAGAACCATCTACAAGTTTCAAAATCACACCTTTTCCAATACAACTCACCGAAAATCCCCAGAAAAAAAAAAAAGAGATTCCGATCACAAATTCTACTATTATCGAATTAAGAGTGAGATCAATACAAACAATACCAAAGCTTAGAACTTTACAAAATTGAAAACTCGCCTTGAGAGATTATCAGAGGAAAAAAAAGATGCAAACTTGGGGACCTCTGATAAGTGATAAACGAACGTTTCTTCTTGTTTGTCTCACATCAACGGTATTGGGCCTAATAAATAAATGGTTCTGGCCCATTGGGCCTAAAATAATTGCTAGGAATCATGGCCCCTTTATCTAACGTGTGCGTTACCAAAAACACACACTGAGAAACTCTCAATCTGAGCAGATATTTACCCAATCAGGGATTGAGGAAGAGAAGCGAGAAGAAGAAATGGAGATAACACTGAACAGTGGTTTCAAGATGCCGATCGTCGGCTTAGGAGTGTGGAGAATGGAGAAGGAAGGGATTCGAGACCTTATCATCAATGCCATCAAGATCGGCTATCGCCATCTCGACTGTGCTGGTATAACTTGTGTTCTCTCAAAACCTTTTCTTTCTCGTCTTTGTCGATTGCGGTTCGTATGGATATGTGAATAGAATTGTGGGTTTGTTGAAAGCTGGAATCTTTCTTGCAAAATATGTCCAAGATTTGAGTTTTCTAGTCTGTACAACTTGCTCTCTGTAGATCTTTATTTGCATCTGATTCTGCACTTGTAGGTATTTGGAATCATAGAATGATCTAAAGTCTTTTGCTGTGTAGATGACTCATTGTCTATGATAGCTTTTTAGTTCATTTTTATTTTTGTTTTTTCATTTGAGTTGCTTTGTTCTGTGTCTTGATTTATGAGTATGTTTTGGGGTTACTTGGTGCAGCTGATTATAGGAACGAGGCCGAAGTTGGTGAGGCTCTTACAGAAGCATTCAAGACTGGTCTGGTTAAGAGGGAGGATCTCTTCATTACGACCAAGGTCCAAACGAATACTATATAGCTATGATCTCAATTTTTGTTTCAGTTCGAATAATTATAAGTGACAAAGCTATGAGTTCTGAATCTGTCTTGGTTTTGTAGCTATGGAATTCAGATCATGGCCATGTTATTGAGGCGTGCAAAGACAGTCTCAAGAAACTTCAACTTGATTACCTCGACCTTTTCCTCGTTCATTTTCCCGTAGCAACGAAACACACCGGTGAGGCTTCTTCTTATTCATGAATTTATCAGTTTTGAGTAGAGACCATTGCGTTTCGTATTATTACAAATTCTCCTTTTTCACCGACTGAAATCAAGTTTTCTCAAGTCTCTAGCAATTCCCCTGTCTATACGTGCTTACAGGAGTAGGAACAACTGATAGTGCTTTGGGTGATGACGGGGTACTGGACATAGACACGACCATCTCTTTGGAAACTACATGGCATGACATGGAAAAACTTGTTTCTATGGGTTTGGTCCGCAGTATTGGAATCAGGTTCAACTTCTCTCACTATCATAACAAGTTGTTTTGTTTAGTCGCCAATATATGATTTTCTTGACCATTTGTTTTTTTGCAGTAACTATGACGTCTTTCTAACGAGAGATTGCTTGGCATACTCCAAGATCAAACCTGCTGTGAATCAAATCGAGACACATCCTTACTTCCAACGTGATTCTCTTGTCAAATTCTGCCAGAAACATGGTATCTGTGTCACTGCTCATACTCCTCTCGGAGGTGCCACAGCCAACGCTGAGTGGTTTGGCACCGTCTCATGTCTGGATGACCCAGTTCTCAAAGTAAGCCAGATCCTCTAAACCTTATAAGTTTGGATTGAAACAGTTAAAAGATTGAACCTTTGAAAGTTAAAAAAGGAAGGTGTTTGTCTGAATTCTTAGGATGTGGCGGAGAAGTACAAAAAGACAGTGGCACAGGTTGTCCTGAGGTGGGGAATCCAGAGGAACACAGTGGTGATACCAAAGACATCGAAGCCTACAAGATTGGAAGAGAATTTCCAGGTTTTCGACTTCGAACTGTCAAAAGAGGACATGGAAGTGATCAAGAGCATGGACAGGAAATACCGCACGAACCAACCAGCCAAGTTTTGGGGCATTGATCTCTACGCTTGATGATCACACGCACTCTCTCGATCTACATGAATAAATGAAGCTTAAGAAGATAAACAAGAGAAGAAGCCACAGCTTTACTTGCAACAACATTCTTAAATGTTTGTGAGGCTATCTTTCATACATAAACTCATGTTTATAAACAGATTATGATTTCTTTAAGTACAACAACTTTGATTCTCTCATCTCTATTTTATATTATGCTCTTAATCCACAATGAAACATTATATTAACTGAAAGAGCTTATCAGAAAAGACGAGAATGCCCTTGATCTGTCTTGTTGGTTAGTAGTAGTGAAGAGGGTAATTTTGGTAAATGACAAACTAAGTACATTGAGCTTCTTCTTCGCGGACAGACACTATCTCTCTCTCTCTCTCTCATCCCTTTGGATCTTTCTTCTCAATCAAAATTTATCCATTTGCCCAGATTTCTTCCACAAGCTCATCAAATTTGTAAGCTTTCGCGTCGTTTCGTCTCTTTGATTGCGTTGTTAATCGATGTTGCTTCCAATTTTGAATGTGTTCTTTCTCTAGGGTTTCTAATTTCAGTGCACCCTTGTTTTCGCGGAATTTTCTCTTGTCATGGAAGTTTTTACTCGTTGATCTTGACCTAATCTATTCCAGTTTTCGTAATTGTTCTTTAAGACCTTTTTCTCTGACTAGTTCAGATTGATTTTGGTATATGAATGAATCAATGGCGGAACCCTAACTGGTAAATCATAAATCAATTTTTGAATTCTGAGTATTACAATTTACAAATTTCTCTTTATGTTGAGATTTGTGTGATGATTTAAGGTTATAAGATAGTGAAATTGTGAGTTCTGCTTGTAATTCTTACTCGTCAACCTTGTTTCAGAGATCGAATCACAATGTTTGAAATTTAGTTTCACTGTTGCTGAGTGTGTGTGGGGGAGAAGCTTGAAAAGCTTTCTTTTTTGTTCTTTTTTTCTCTTTTTGAAGATTATAAGAGTTATGGAGAATGGTGGTCAGTATGATAATGGGCGGTTCAAGCCCGATTACTTCAAAGGTGCACAATCTATGGTAAGACTAAAGATTTTTGGTTTCCTTCAGATGTGTTTTGTTAGTGTGATTGAAGCTTATAAGCAAAGAATGTTTGTTACAGTGGAATATGATGCCTCAGCATCAGATTAAGGAACAACATAATGCCTTGGTGATGAATAAGAAGATCATGTCTATCCTTGCCGAGAGGGACGCTGCTGTACATGAAAGAAATCAAGCTGTCTCTGCTAAAAAGGAAGCAGTAGCTGCTCGGGACGAAGCGCTTCAGCAACGGGACAAAGCTCTTTCTGAAAGAGATAAAGCCTTGATAGAGAGAGACAATGCGTATGCTGCTCTTCAGCATCATGAAAATAGTCTCAACTTTGCTTTGTCTGGTGGCAAGCGCGTTGATGGAGATGATTGTTTTGGGATTGGAGAACCCCACAAACTCCATGTCGTCCCTTTATCAACTATTCCGCCCGAGGTTACCAATAGTACGAAGGTGACAAAAAGGAAGAAGGAGAACAAGCAGGGACAATCAAAGGTGAAGAAAGTGGGTGAAGATCTCAACCGTCGAGTTGCTGCTCCTGGAAAGAAATCTAGAACAGATTGGGACAGTCAAGATGTCGGTTTGAACTTAGTCACCTTTGATGAGACCACAATGCCTGTACCCATGTGTACATGCACAGGCTCTGCTCATCAGTGTTACAAATGGGGAAATGGCGGCTGGCAATCGTCTTGCTGCACAACCACCTTATCCCAGTATCCATTACCGCAGATGCCAAACAAGAGGCATTCTCGGATGGGCGGTAGGAAAATGAGCGGAAACGTTTTCTCGAGGTTACTCAGCCGTTTAGCAGCAGAAGGATATGATCTCTCGTGTCCTGTTGATCTTAAAGACTATTGGGCTAGGCACGGGACAAACCGCTACATCACTATCAAGTAGCCTCTGTTGTCTACACAGTCCAAGTATGTTTATCTCGTCTTCTTAAGATTAGGTGTTGTCTTTGTCTGATTGTCCATAGTTGTTCGTTGTTGTGTATGGTAAAACCATTATTATGTATCTTTTGAATGAGCAAAAATGGATTGACATAAAGAAATCTGTGTTACCTCAAAAAAATAAATAAAAATCTTAACAGTTAGGATACTAAATCTGTTACCCCTTTGATAGCTAAACGTTACATAGTGATTAGTTTAAAGATTTGCCCCGAAAAAAAAAAGTGATTGGTTTGAAGAATAAAATCTTAAGATTCTTTCTTCCACTTATTAGTTTCTTTTTATACCGATAAGAGAGAACAAAAAAATGCATGAACAACAAAATGGTAGAGAAAGCCACAGTAGAGACGCAGCAAGCGGCACAAGAGATATGGTTTCTTGCCTCCGCAAGAGCCTTCTTGCAAATTCCGAATCCGGGTATTGTTAAAGTTTTCGTCCTAAGCAGCTTGATTACGTTCACCTCAGGAATTGCCTTAGTCATTGAATGGATCTGTCACGGAAAGAGTCACACCGGATTTGGGTGGATCATCTACTACGCATTGTTCTTGATGTGTCTTCCTCTTGTCATCTTGATCGGTCTTCATATCCTCGTGCGTCGCGGCTCAGATCAGATTGTAGATTCAACCACAAGCAAAGAGCCATGTGTTGTGCAGAATCAGTGTACCGAGAGTACTAAACGAACTGAAGAAACGGAGAAAAACAGTTGCCAAAGTTTAGCCGTGGTGGTTCCTCCGGATGACGAAAAGATGCCGAGGATAAAACGCGCTGTTTCGTTCCCATCTCACCAGTGCCAGCCCGTTAAATTTGGGTGCCCTAAGCAAAATTAAAACCATAAAAAAAAAAAATTCTTTTAAATTAGATTTTTACCATTAAAAAGAATGTTGTAGTTGTCTCTAAAAGCCAACAATATTTTTAAAAAGCCCTACAAAAATTATTGTATATAAAAAAACTTAACAAATTTTTATGTAAAAAGGCCCTCAAATTTTGAGGCCCTAATCGGTGGCTTCGGTGGCTTGCCATCTACGCCGGCCCTGCATCTCACGGCGAAGTAAGATCATGTCGTACTCGTTAGCAAAACGATGTGTTTAGTTATTCAAGAATCTAATGTCTTTGAGATATCTTTTTCAGTAATCCAACAATAATGATCATCAGAAAATCTAAATTACATCTTTTTTTTCTCCTCTGATGACCCGACTCAAGTCAAATCTCTCATTTCCTGGATATTGCCACGTGTCACAACACTCAGCCAGGAATAATATGTGTGGGTCCCATATCTTGTTTGAGTCAATGTCGTTACTTTGGCCCAAACGGAAAGTGTTTTTTACATAACAATAACATGGTTATTGGTGATACTGTATACAATAAAACCTCTATTAATTAATACTCTCTAAACTAATAATCTCTCTAAATTAATAAATTTTTCCGATCCCGAATTGGGACCAGTGTAAAATATGGCATAAATCGATAAATTAATAAGATAATAATTTTTTTAAAAATCCCATATAAACATATGGTCCCATCTATATCATAAATTAATAATTGTATAAACTTATCAATATATATATATAATATAAATTTATATATGTCATATTTGAATTACTATGATATATATTTAAAATATTCTATGTAAAAAATTTAATAAAATATGACTCTATTATTCGAAAAAAGTTTGTGTTGTTTTTATAAATTTAATAATTGCTTCTCTACTTGTAATTAGTTTTTAAAAGATATTACTTATATAAAAAAATTATTTTTAGATAGAAATTTTTTTAAGAAATTACAAAATTAGTAAAATCTCTCTATAAATTAATAATTATTAATTTATCGATAAATTCATACCTCTCTAAATTAATAAAATTTGCTGGTCCCAACACTATTAATTTATAGAGGTTTTATTGTAGTATCATTAGGAATTTTTTAATGTTATTTATAATGTTTATTTATTGTTTAAGATTTTTTATGATACTCTTACTAAATATATATGTATTGGTGAGACCGGTTTAAATATCATAAAAAAAAAAAATTTGCAAAATCAAAAATAAATATATAAAAACATAGGATTATAAAAGGTAATATTACAATTAAAAAAACATAGAATATACTTAAGCAAAATAAAACATAAAATTCAAAAAAACTTATAAAACTTGATGATAAAAATAATTTAGTCGCTTGTAGTCAATTACCTTGGCCCCGTTTTTGGCAAATATGTTCAGTCAAATCTTCTTTCAATTGTCGATGTGTTTGTTCATGACGTATTTGAGCTCGATTGGCCATCAAATTGTTCACATTTGAAGCTAGAGGAGAAGCGGAGGGAGCGACGGCAGGATCAACAAAGAAGGCAGAGGAGAGAGGAGAAATCGAAATCGCCGACTAGGGTTTCTGGGATTTCACGGGAGAGAGGAGAGAAGAAAAAAATGATTTTTTTTTTTTTTTCTGTTTTGGCAAAACGAGTTTGAAGACCAATAATACATTGCCACGTTATATGACACCCAGTATCAAAAATATCACTCCAGTGATACGGATCAAACCCAAAAATAATGTTTGGTCCATTAAAAATTATTTGCTGGGCTTCTGATACCCATAAAGTATCACCTATGGGCATGGTCTTATTATGGAGTCGTAACAAACACTTGTAAAACTGGACCAAAAAAAATCCAAACTAGTCAAATGACTCTAATTGATCCATTTAAAGAAATGTACATTTGTCGCTACACAATTGGTCTAAGGTAAATTACTTATATAGAATAGTGTTAAAGGGATTTACCCAATTTTAGCCAAATGTGGTAAGTTTAATTTCTAAACAAACTTAATTTCAAAATTTAATTTAGATTCATTGAAATATCTACATTTAAGTAATGTAAATTAATGTGGGTCCACGACATATGTAATGCATGGAAAATATTTACTAATTATAAGTAAAAATGGCTAAAAACCAAAAAAGGAGATACAGTATATGATATTTATTAATACAGCCAAAAAAGAAATCTCACAATTACAATTACAATTAATTAAAGGAATCCAAAAATATACAAAACTTTCTTTAAAAAATCTAACGAAAATCATTTGTAAAATCCAACATTGGTAATTCTTCTAGTGATTCATTTGAACCAAATGTGTATAGATAAACGTGGTAAAATAGTTCTATTTCAACGAAATAAACGTGTCAAAATAATTCACTGGAAAAACGTGATAAACTAACTCACTAACAACGTAAATAACGCGGCAAAATAATTAACTAAATAACGAGCCAAATTTAAATTTTAAAAAGATTTACTCAATAGCAAAACACAATAACTTTAGGTTTATAAAATTTTCACTGTATAAACACAATACAGTCTAGCTTTTATTATCTTCAAAATGTAAAAGCTATTTTATTGAAAAAACAATTAAAAATGTATAGATATGAGACCTTAAGATGGGAAAAATCATTAATTAAATATGAGGAGGGGTAAAAAACATGAGACTTGTGTCCCACCTTAACCAATATAAATAGGAGGGTCGTGCAATCTATTGAAGCAGACAACAAACACAACACCAATCATTTTCTCAGAGAGATTTCTTTTGTCAACTGTCCTTATCCATTGTCGAAGCTTGAGGTCTCCTCTCCTTAACTCTTTACGTCTCTCTCAAAGTTTCAATCTTTTTTTATTTGGTCTCCTTCTCTGCAACCCGATAACAGTACTTTTCATAGAATCTGAATATCTCTATTGATAATTTTCATTATAGCTTTGGACTGTTAACTTTTTCCCATTTATGCATTCGATTTTTGATTTCTTCTTTAAGAAAAATAACAAAACTTCGATATCATACAGAAACTCCGATACACAACGATGAACGGTCGTGGCAATAGGACTCCTTCAAGCACTCAATACCAGCAGAATCCTTTTAGCACCAACGGTGGCCAGAGCACAGGCATGTCACTGTCTCACCAGACTTCTCCGTCAACACTTTCTCAGGTCCCACCACTGATCCGTTTTCCAGCCGGGTCACCAGACTTCAGCCCCGGACCACGGTGTACGACTCAGCCGTTCCCTACCTACTCTGACTTCACTCAGACCAGTCCGTCGTTCCATTTCCATAATCCATTTGCACCGGGGAGCTCTACTCTGTCGTCTAGCTTCTCCAACTATCCCCTCACGAGTCCTTCACCGTCTGAGTTCCATAATCCATTGGCGCCGACAAGCTTTACTCCGTTCCCTACCTCCTCTGACTTCACTCAAACGAGTCCTTCATCGTCAACGTTCCATAACTCACAGGGGCCGACGATCTCTACTCCTTCGTCCAGCTTCTACTTTCCCCAGACGAGTCCTTCACCGTCGCCGGTGAGCTCTTCTACGCCGTTCAGTCATGACTCATTTATGCACTCCAACCCCGAACCATGGACGATACCTCAACCATCGCATGTGTTCTCATCCACGTCGTCAGGGAGCTCTACTCCGCCTTCGTTCCGTCGTGATTCCTTTCCCCGCTCATACCCTGGAAAAGGGTCGATGACTCATAGGCCTATACTTTCAGTCCTGCCGCCGTCGCCTGTCTACTGCTCTAATCCTATGGTGAGCTCATCTCCGACGTCAATCGGTCGTAAGTCAATCCCGCTGATGCACCCTTCTCCATCAGTACATGTGGCGAACAGAGACTCTTCCATTAGGTCTAACCAAAATCTTCATCCATTGCCTCCTCGGGTTCCAGTCAAGAGGTCTAACTCCGCCAAAGTCTCCCGCAGCAACACTCTACATTCAAGAAAGTCTCATAAACGGACCAATTCGATGGCCCCTCAGAGTTCTCCTGGATCGAGCTACCTTGAGCTATCAGATATGTTGGTTGGGGACTCAAGCTGTGGCGAGGAAGGCTTTGGAGAGTTGATCTATGATGAAGAAGCCATGAAGGAGTTCTGTTCTGAGTATATGATTCTGCATAACAATAACAATGGTGATCAGAATCAGAATGTTGATGTTTTGATGATAACCAATACTGCAGATTCGGGAGGTCCAGGCAACGCGAATGAGAGCAAGTTTAAAACTGGATCGACTACTTCGGGTGTCAAGAGAAGAGCAGGGAAAGAGATTGAACCTTCACGCCAACTCTATAGGAGTGCTTCAGCGGATACATGTTACAGTGACTCGATAAAGCGTAGGAATCTACAGGGTCAAGTTAGCAGTTCTGTTGGAAGAGGAGATAAAGAGGCTGCAGATGATCCTAAGAAATTTCAAAGGTAAGCAAGATTGGATGACTAAAATTAACAATGTTTTCTCTTTAATAATTTATTATTATTATTATTATCATGTGTGATGTATGGTTTTTCTGACATTTATTTATTCATATATGGATGCTCTTTCAGAAGGTTGGCAAACCGAGCCGCAGCTGCACGTTTTAAGGAGAAGCAGACGATGCACATTCTTGACTTGGAACGCAGAGTAAAGATTCTTGAGAAGACTAATGCTTCACTGGTTGGAACGATGACGCTTATGGAGGTGTGACATATCACATTAGCAACCATCTACTTGTCATGTCTAAGATGTTCCTATAAGGATTTTTTTATTGTTGTTGCATGCAGAAGGAAAACATGATGATGATGGGCGAGAACAAGGAAGGGAAGCTTCGAGTTCAATTGCTGGAGCAAAAGGCACATCTTCTTGATGGTACATTTTTATAATAAATGTTTGAATTTTTACATTAGTAAAGAAAGGGGTAAACATATTTCTATTCATACTCGGTGAATCCATACTCGGTGACCGAAGAACATATATATATTTTCATTTCTTTTATTTTTGTAATCTTAACTAAATAATTGTGTGCAGAAATCGAAAGACTAGAGAAGGAGGCAAAGGAACGAGAGGGCGTAGACTACTCTCAACTGAAGCTAAGTGAAGAGCTCATCGCTGAAGTCAACCGACTTAAGGTGGCAGCTGGTGAGGGAATGACAAACCCCAGCCAGTTCGACAGTCCAATGATGCAGCCGTTGGATCCAAACATGTTCCAGCTGCAACTCAACATCAATGAGTTTAATCAGCGGCCATTGGATACAAACATGTTCCAGCAGCAAGTTAACATCAATGAGGTCAATGAGTTCAATCAACAACAGCCAAAGCAAGATTTTTCTGGACATTAGATCTAAAGAAAGAAGTTGAGGTGCCTTTGGCAATCCAATATATGATTGTAACCGTTTAGACAATTGTGACTTTTTTTTTGTTTTTTTTTTAATAAAACTTTGTCTTTTTATTATATTTTATTTTATAGTTTTATTGACATTTATTTACATTTTATCCAATTTGTTAAAATTTCATAGAAAAACAAGCCGAAAATAGTCTTCTCGGATGTTCCTTTTTCCGACCAGTCGTTAATACTTTGGTCAACGTTTCAAAGAGTCATCTTTTCTGTCGATGATTTGCTCCATTGATTGCTGAAGAAACCAGAAAACACAGAGAGAGAGAGAGAGATTCGCTTCTCCATTTCCTTCCTTTGCAGGTCAATTTCTTTCTTTCTTTCTAGATAGATTATCTTCTCTCGGATTTGGGAAACTCAATAATTATGCGTTGTTGATCTTCTTCAGCTAAAGCTTCAATCTTTAATTAGGGTTTTTGGTGGGTTCTTCAAAGTTTGTGACTTTAATTTTCGGAATCTTTTGTTTCTCAGAAATCAATCAAAATGGTTGGTGGTGGCGATACAACAGATACCAATATGATGCAGAGAGTTCATTCTTCTTCCGGTACATCGTCTTCTTCGATCCCTAAACAGAATCTTCACTTGAATCCTGCTCTTATCCGCTCTCACCATCACTTCCGTCAGCCTTTCACCGGAGCTCCGCCGCCGATTCCACCCATTTCTCCTTACTCTCAGATCCCGGCGACTTTACAACCTAGGCATTCTCGGTCTATGTCACAACCGTCTTCTTTCTTCTCCTTTGATTCATTGCCGCCGTTAAATCCGCCGGTTTCGGTGTCGGTGGAGGAAAAAACCGGCGCCGGATTTAGCCCTTCTCTGCCTCCTTCGCCGTTTACGATGTGTCATTCTTCTAGCTCTAGGAACGCTGGAGATGGAGAGAATCTACCGCCGAGAAAGTCTCATAGGCGTTCGAATAGTGATGTTACTTTTGGGTTTAGTTCAATGATGGGTCAGAATCAAAAGTCTCCTCCTTTGACTCCTTTGAGTTCTTTAGAGAGATCGATCTCCGGCAGAGATATTTCAGATTGGTCTAATTTGGTGAAGGACGAACCAATAGAACGCTTCTTTAAGGGAAGAAAAAAACCACAGAGTGAAGCAGCTATGGACGATGTTTTCACGGCTTATATGAATCTTGAAAACATTGATGTCTTGAATTCTTTTGGAGGTGAAGATGGGAAGAATGGTAATGAGAATGTGGAGGAGATGGAGAGTAGTAGAGGTAGCGGGACGAAGAAGACGAATGGCGCAAGCAGTAGTGATTCTGAAGGAGAAAGCAGTGCGAGTGGGAATGTGAAGGTTGCGGTGAGTTCTTCTTCTTCAGGCGTGAAGAGAAGAGCCGGCGGAGACATTGCTCCGACTAGTAGACATTACAGGAGTGTTTCAATGGATAGTTGTTTCATGGGGAAGTTGGATTTTGGCGATGAATCATCTCTTAAGCTTCCGCCTTCATCAGCTAAAGTTTCCCCAACCAATTCAGGGGAAGGGAATTCGAGTGCTTTTAGTGTCGAATTTGGAAACGGTGACTTTACTGCAGCTGAAATGAAGAAGATTGCAGCCGATGAGAAACTCGCTGAGATTGTAATGGCTGACCCTAAGCGTGTAAAAAGGTAATAAATAGTGGTGCTTTATTAGACATTTTGGTATTGTTGTGGTGACTTGACTGTTTGATTTAACCATCTCGTTAGAATCTTGGCGAACCGCGTATCTGCTGCACGTTCAAAGGAGAGGAAGACGCGATACATGGCAGAGTTGGAACACAAGGTGCAGACACTTCAGACTGAAGCCACTACATTATCGGCTCAGCTCACGCATTTGCAGGTGAGAGACAACAACACATCAACTATCATGTTTGAATAAGATCTGTAGTCTTATATTGTTTCCTTTGGGGGTTCAGAGAGATTCAATGGGGTTGACAAACCAGAACAGTGAGCTGAAGTTTCGTCTTCAAGCTATGGAGCAGCAAGCACAACTCCGCGATGGTACGCACATTATCAAAACTATTCATTCTCTATATTAGAGTTACTGAGTCGTTTTAGGATTGTTTTGTATTCGAACTCGATGGAACTAAGTCAGTGTCATGTCATTATCCGAATGCTTTGTTTTACTTTCCATCGACACCGTGAGAGCTTTCCTTTTTCGCTTTCCACAGCCTTGATTAGGAACAATGTTTTTGTTTTCTATGTATGGAAAAACCTTAAACTTTATCCTTGGAAAAATAGCTCATGGCCGCAAGATTGCACCCGAATTTATCCATCCTTACCACGCGAAATATGTCTCTTGTTTAATTCACTCTATGAAATGCTTTGATCTTTCTCCCGAGAATTTAGCGACCGTGTTTCTTGGATTTTGTCCATATCTCCGTTCTCCTAGAGAAGTAACATTTTGATTTTCCTTGTTTGACAGCTTTGTCAGAGAAACTGACTGAAGAAGTCCAGCGGTTGAAACTGGTGATTGGGGAGCCGAACCGCAGGCAAAGTGGCAGCAGCAGCAGCGAACCAAAGACGTCACTAAACCCGGAGATGTTTCAGCAGCTTAGCATAAGCCAGTTACAACACCAGCAGATGCAGCATTCCAATCAGAATAGCACAATGAAAGCAAAGCACATGTCAAACAAATAGGGTAAGTAAAACTGCGATCCGCAGTTTCTAGTTACATATATGATAAGAATCTTTTGTGCAGAGTTCTGTTTTTGGAAGTTTTAAAGAAACATATATAAAGATTATGTCCGGGAAATTCGATTGTATTTCCCGAAACATATATATATATATATATATATATATAGTGGTAACGGAGGGCTCTCTTTCTGGACCAAGTGATCTTATGTTGTTTTGGTCATATATACCCTTAGGATTTTATTTCCCTTTGGATTTTGGATTTTGGATAATCTATGAGACAATTCTTAAGGTTGCTATATATTAGTGAATCGAAATCTTATATATTGATATATTAGCAGAATCAAATGAATGGCTATGAAACTAAACTGAAACTGCTTCTCTTGCTTAGACTGCTCTCCAGCTTCATCTCCTCCTTTGTCTTTATCGCTGTTCTTGAACATGCCAATCATTGAAGAGCAACAATGGCAACAAATATGTTGATAGATTCTTTAACTTATGAGAAGTGTGACATGATGATATCAGAGCTATAGGATGAAATTGAAACCTATAGCTCAAGGTTCTCATGATTGGCGAATTCTTCCAAGAACAACATGGAAGCACGTAGCACTCAAGGTTGTTCAAATAACGTTAAATGTGCCGCATATTTATCACTAAACCTAACTATATAAAAATAAAAACATCTGGTTAAAAACTTAGGTGTGTGTAGGAGTCATCATATATCAACTCAGGATCAGTGATGAATAAAGCTGGCAAGTTTACACATGGTCATCTGGTTGTTTTGTGAACTACTAAATTTGCACCATAAGATTACATTATTGCAGCAATCTGTGATCCTGCTGATGCAAAACGGCATCAAGGTTAAGAAGATAACAACAGCATCCAAGTCAGAGATCGAACTGATTATGGAGAATGGTATCTTTTTATTCTACGAGAATGATCATCTTCATTTCTAGTTATGTAAACTTCAAAACTATGTGAAGAGTTTTGCCTCTTAAATGCGCAGTCCTCAAGAAAAAGCAAGACCATACAGAAAACGAAGGTAGATTAGCATCTTAGAACAGCATCCAAGAGCTTACTTACATAACACGTTAAGCTAGGATATGCCTTTGCTTTGATTATATTGGAAAAGACAATTTTGGTGGTAATTATGTGTCAATATAATCCTTTGATTTCTATCCTTTTTACATATGTGAATCTTTGTACAGATGGAACGTGTGGCTTTCAAAAGCTATTTAATTTCCCAATGTTTTTAGAACAACAGAAACTACTCTATTGAATAGTGTGTTTAATTTAAAAGGCCATTCAAAGATATCAAAAACATAAAACATCAGTTCACATAAAGGAAGGGGTCTTATACCCAATCAAGCATCGAACAAAAGAAGCAAACACAAAAATATCCGATAGAAAAGCTAAAATGGACCATAAACATAAGTCTTAAAAGCCAAAATGTTACCAACAAACTAAAGCCGCAAAATGCAAACTAAAAAGTGTAAAAAAAAAACATTCCTCCAACGTACCACCACCAGCTCTTTCATCTACTTACCGGAAGAAAAAGCGGCCGCATTAGTTCCAATCCTCATCATACAAAGCTCCACTTAGCTCCATGCATGATCTTCTCGGAAAACATCACACTGCATTATGTGTTCCACTTCCAGAACACACACCATTGCTCATAAAGGGTTTTGAGTTCCAAGTGAAAAGAGAAAAGACTCATTTAGTCTTGGCATCCATCAAAACTATATATAAATCCCTCAAAGAACAACATCCTAGTCCTGATGAGAATTTATCCTCGCATTTCCAAGGAACACAAAGAAAAAGAACTTGCTCATTTTCCACTGGTTCATGTTGGATAACAACATATGACTCCACCATCCGGGATACGTGATCTTCCTCCCAAGTATTACGAATATGTAAATTTATTAATATCATTTTTTAGTTAGAAGTCCATTTATAAGCTAAGGTACGTGTAAACATAACATTTTCTAGTTATAAAAGTTTATATATCTTTCATAATTTCTCATTTACTTTTATAGAGGTTACGAGGATAAATAACTTTAGTATATATACATGTGCGAGTATGATGAGGCATAATAGATATTAGAGATATTATATTGGTACATGTGGATGCCGTTTATTCCAAGCCAAAATAAATAATACTTTCCTGAGAGATAGATGAAAAAAAAAAGAAGTATGTGCATCATATTAAGAAGACTAGTTGCATCGTTTACAAACACCAATTGTGGCTAGCAGGGAAAATGGCAAAGAGCGAAGCTAAGTGCATTGAATATATATTTTCAATATATGCTACTAAATATGTCTATATATGTCTTTTAAATGTTGAGAAGATATGTATATATATGTGCACCAAGTAATTACTAGAGACAATGCTTTGCTTCACCTACCTCTTCTTTACTATTTTGTTTTCTCACTAGAGACAATCAAATTTAAAACTCTTTGTTCATTAATTCAATGGTCCCATATGTTACACCTATTAGTCTACAGTCTAGAGACTAGAGTCTATAGATAATGTGAAGCATTTCAAGTTTGTAGTAAATGTTTATGTCTAACGTAGATATTCCGGAAATGATAATGAATAAATACTACAATATGCTTATAACAAAATCAACAATGCAACGGAGATAACCCTTAAAAATATTTGAAGCAAAAAAGAGGAATAATACAAATTATATTGGAACTAAGTTGAAGGAGGTTTGATCGATAATTTCATTACATTGAGAAAAAATATGAACTATCAACAATATCTACTAGTTCTTATTAGCGCAAGCCATCACTCAAAATTTATTACAGCTTACCAAAAATAAATTAGGTTTACATTTCAACCCTTGAATGCAATACAACCATAAGGTGCTACACTTTGGAATTAACAAACTAAAACCCAGGTTTAAGATAATCCACATAAAAGGGTCACTTTACGCGGATCATTATAGGTTTATAGTTTGGAAAAAAAAAAAACTTTGGATTCAATATTCATCCAAAGGTAACAAAAAAAAAATGATATATATATAATAAGCTCTCTCGTTTTCTCTTCCACTCACTCATCGGATCATGGATGTTAGAGAGCGGAAAAAAACTTCTTCACAAGGAATAGTGAGTCCCATGTCATGATTGAACCCGAACTCTTCCTCTGCCTGTTGAAGCAAGCTCTTGAACTTAGGATGAGTCAAGAAGGATATGGGTACGATGTACCGGCTCCTCTTTTCGCCTACATAGACCGCGAAATGACCCTTTGGTACGTCTACAGGCAGGCTCTCCTCATCATAGCATTGATTCTTAGCCAAACTCGAGCATCTCTTGAGGATTTGCTTCAGCATTGCGGTTTGTGTTAGCTTAGGAGATCTCTTAACCGCCATTGTTAGTTTATTGTTTCTTGAGAGAGGAAGAAGAAGAAGTTGAGGTGTAGATGGCGGAGCAAAGTGAGAGATGGTGAAAGGGTTATTTATGGCGGAGAATGAGGATGGGGATGTGATGCTTACACCAATATTTCAATTTCTTGATTATTCAAAAATATTAGATATATGGTCAATTTGGATGGATTCGTCTAGTAGTGAATATAAATATAAAGTAATGTCGTTAACTTTGGACAAAAACAAAAAAGGTAAGAGCATCTCTTCATTGATAGACTCTTAATGTTAACTCCTAGGATTAGTTTTAATATTAAATTTTAGACTTAAGACGTTGTTTATTGGTTTTAAAATTTATGTGTCTCTAATGATAGGTTCTTAAGAAATTTACATGTATTTTTTGTTTGTGTAACATTTTTTTTTTATTTATCAAAATTAAGAAAAATTTCATAACAAAAAATTCTAAAAATAAAATTTATAGGGCCCAATTTTATTTTTTTGGCCCTAAGACCTATAATAATGTTGAGCCAGCCCTCACTACTAGCTCCAGAATTTAACATTTCATGGATGCTAAACACTTTTTGTCATATGATAAGATCCTACGAAAACTATGTTACACAATATTAGGCATAGATTTTTTTTTCCAAGTGTTATATGCAAACAACTAAAAATAAAATACTTAAAACGATTACAATGTTGCCGTTTAATACGACTCTTTTAAAGCCCTAATAAAGAATGGTCTACCCCAATGAAATTTCAACAACCCTATCAATTATTTGGGAGTAAATTATTTCATTCTAATTTTAAAGATCCATATTGTGTGTATATATTATCAATCAACTACTTTTGGTCCTCCCTCAGTCTCTTCTCTCTCCTAATTTATATTATTATATAATAAGAAAAAGGATGTATCATTTGCTAACTAGATTTCATAATGAAGTATGAATATAGATATATATGTACTAAAAGTACAAAGTGTGTGTACTTATCAATTCTTATATTGCACTCTATTTCGTTACGTGCATAGTTGATTAGTTGACACGGAAGCATGCAACCATTATATTAATTACCTTAAACTTATATGATATATAGCCTTTTGTTTTCTATTGGAGTATATATGTGTATATTAATGTATTGGTTTAGTAGCTAGATTAGATCCGGTTAAGTAAACCGAGATTGAGCAATTGTATATAAACCTCTTGGAAAGATTCTTCCTAATCTTAATGAGAAAATTATCTTCATAACTTTTCTCTCATCGTTTCTCTTCCGCTAATATGGTATCAGAGACATCAAGCTCAGATCTCCATTGATTTCGATCTGATTTCTTCGTTTTCTTTGCGCTAGATCCATCCTCTACAATGGTGAAAGCTGTCATAGCTCGGAAATCTGCTCGATCGAAGTCTGGAACAAGTTCTTCAGCTCAGAAAGTGTCACGATCTACCGGTGTTGCTGAATCTCCTCCGATCTCTCCTCCAGTTACTAGATCTCGTAGTTCTGGAACATCGCGAGCAAATGCATCATCAGAATTCTCAGATCCATCGCACTCTCCGTTCTTTCTTCACAGCGCCGATCATCCAGGTTTGACTCTCGTTGCTCTTCGTTTAGATGGCACAAACTATGATGATTGGGAAGCTGCTATGCGTATTGCGTTAGATTCAAAAGGAAAAATAGGATTCATCGATGGTTCCTTAACTCGTCCTGCTGAATCTGATCAAAATTTTAGCATCTGGTCTAGATGTAATAGTATGATTAAGTCATGGCTTTTGAATTCGGTGTCATCGGAGATCTATCAGAGCATTTTACGTATGAAAGATGCTTCTGATATTTGGTGTGATCTTCACAGTCGTTTTCATATGAGTAATTTGCCAAGGACTTTCAATCTCACTCAAGAGATACAAGACTTGCGCCAAGGAGCCATGTCTTTGTCAGAGTACTACACTAAACTGAAGACCTTATGGGGAAATTTGGAAAGCACAGAAGAACCAGATGATCCGTGTGTTTGTGGCAAGGCTACTCATCTGCAATTGAAGGCAGAGAGGGCTAAGATTGTTAAGTTTTTGGCAGGACTTAATGATTCTTATTCTATCATACGGAGACAAATCATCATGAAGAAGGTTCTCCCTACATTGGCTGAAGTCTACAACATCCTTGACCAAGATGATAGTCAAAAGGGTTTCTCCAATGTAGTTGCTCCACCTGCTGCTTTTCAAGTATCTGCTATTGAGTCTTCTGGTCAGGATCCCACTGTGTGTTATGTGCAAAATGGACCAAACAAGGGTAGGCCTATTTGTTCCTTTTGTAACAGGGTGGGACATATAGCTGAAAGATGCTATAAGAAGCATGGATTTCCTCCTGGATTCACACCTAAGGGAAAGACACCTGATAAGAATGTTAAACCCCGTCCCATTGCTGCTCAGGTTACTTTGGCTTCACCCTCTCCTGATTCTGCGACTAACAGTCTAGATGCAGTCATTGGTAATCTTAGTAAGGATCAGCTTCAACAGTTCATCGCTCTGTTTAGTTCTCAGCTTCAGCCTCAGTCAAGTTTTGGTTCTCCTGAAGCTAGTACATCTCAGAATGATAACACTGGTATCTCGTTTTCCTCTTCTACCTATTGTTTCATTGGTATATTGACAGTATCCAGAAACACTATTTCCCCTAAGACATGGGTTATAGATTCTGGAGCAACACATCACGTCTCACATGATAGAAGCTTGTTTCTTACTCTGGATACTGCTATTGTTAGCTGTGTGAACTTGCCTACAGGACCTACTGTTAAAATTAGTGGTGTAGGAACCATTAGGATCAACAAACACATTTTGCTCCAGAATGTGTTGTTTATCCTGGAATTCAGACTAAATCTCATCAGTATTAGTTCTCTCACTTCTGATCTTGGTTTCAGAGTGGTGTTTGATCCATGTTCTTGTGAAATTCAGGATCTTACCAAGGAGTTGACCATTGGAAAGGGTAGAAGAGTGGTTAATCTATATGTTTTGGACGTTGAGGAGACAGAGATTTCAGTGAATGCAGTGGTGGATGTTAGTATGTGGCACAAGAGACTGGGGCATCCTTCATTCAGCAGATTGGATGTTATTTCTGAGTCTTTAGGCACTACTAGACATAAGAATAAGGGTTTAGCTTACTGCCATGTTTGTCATTTGGCTAAGCAGAAGAAGTTATCTTATCATTCTCAGAATAATATTTGTAATACAAACTTGGAGTTATTACATATTGACATCTGGGGACCGTTTTCAGTTGAATCTATTGATGGATATCGATATTTTTTTAACTATAGTGGATGATCATTCAAGAGCAACCTGGGTATATTTGTTGAGGAACAAGTCAGAGGTTCTTACAGTATTTCCAGCTTTTATCACTCTTGTTGAGAATCAATTGAATCTCAAAGTTAAATCAGTTAGGTCAGACAACGCACCTGAATTGAACTTCACAAGTTACTATCAAGATAAAGGTATACAGTCCTTCCATTCCTGTCCAGAGACACCTGAACAGAACTCAGTAGTTGAGAGGAAGCATCAGCATATCTTGAATGTAGCTCGTGCTCTCATGTTTCAATCTCAAGTTTCTCTGCCTTTCTGGGGTGACTGTATCTTAACCGCAGTATTTCTTATTAACAGAACTCCATCTCAAGTTCTATCTAATAAGACTCCTTTTGAAGTTCTTACAGGGAAAGCACCTGTATATGATCAATTAAGGACTTTTGGATGTCTTTGTTATGGATCAACATCTCCTAAACAGAGAACTAAGTTCCAAGAAAGATCTAGAGCTTGTGTGTTCTTGGGTTACCCTGCAGGCTACAAGGGATATAGGTTGATGGACTTGGAGAGCAATAAAGTTTTCATTTCCAGAAATGTCATATTTCATGAAGATGTGTTTCCTCTGGCAAAAGACAAGAAGTCTGATCACTCTTTGGATTTCTTTACACCAATGTCCTCAGGTAAGCTCACTATACCATCACAAATTTCTCCATCTTCTATCTCACCATCACAAATTTCTCCATCTTCTATCTCACCATCACAAATTTCTCCATTAAAACACTCCACCACTAGAGCCAAGAAAACTCCGGCTTATCTCAAAGACTTTCATTGTTACTCACTTAACTCTGATGTTCAATATCCCATTTCATCAAATCTTTCTTATTCTAACTTTCACCTTCTCATCTCATATATATCAACAACATCACAAAAATTCCTATTCCCCATACTTATTCTGAGGCACATGAATCCAAAGAGTGGTGTGATGCGGTTGATGCAGAGATTGGTGCAATGGAATCTACTGATACTTGGGAAGTTACAACATTGCCTCCGGGAAAGAAACCTGTAGGTTGTAAGTGGGTTTTCACAGTGAAATTCTTGGCAGATGGCAGTCTTGAGAGGTATAAGGCTCGCTTGGTTGCAAAGGGGTATACACAGAGAGAAGGAGTGGATTTTACAGAAACCTTTTCACCAGTTGCTAAGATGGCTACTATCAAGTTGTTACTCAAGGTGTCTGCTTCAAAGAAATGGTCATTAACACAACTTGATATCTCTAATGCTTTTCTCAATGGTGAATTAGAGGAGGAAATATTTATGAAGCTTCCTGAAGGGTATGCAGAACGCAAAGGTATTTCTTTACCTCCTAATGCTGTTTGTAAGCTTAAGAAATCAATATATGGGCTTAAACAGGCATCTAGGCAATGGTTTAAGAAGTTCTCCAGTTCATTATTGCATATGGGATTTATTAAAGGCCATGGGGATCATACTTTGTTTGTGAAGAGTTGTGGTTCAGATTTTCTGGTAGTATTGGTTTATGTTGATGATATTGTCATTGCAAGCACCTCTGAAGCTTTGGCTGGTTCATTAACACAAAATTTGAAGCAACAGTTTAAGCTAAGGGATCTAGGAGAGTTGAAATATTTTTTGGGTTTGGAGATAGCCCGAAATTCAGATGGTATTTCACTTTGTCAGCGTAAGTATGCATTGGAGTTATTGACTGCTACTGGTATGCTTGCGTGTAAGCCATCCTCTGTTCCAATGATCCCTAATGTTAAGTTGCTAAAGACTGATGGTGATTTATTGGGTGATAAAGAAGAATACAGACGTATTGTTGGTAAGTTGATGTACTTGACAATCACTAGACCTGATATTACATATGCAGTGAATAAGCTTTGTCAGTTTACATCTGCTCCTCGTACTGCTCATCTAGCTGCATTTTACAAAGTTCTCCAGTACATAAAGGGAACTGTAGGACAGGGTTTGTTTTACTCTGCTTCTCCTGACCTTACTTTGAAGGGTTTTGCTGACTCTGATTGGGCATCATGTCCTGATAGTAGACGCTCCACTACTGGTTTCTCCATGTTTGTTGGGGATTCTCTGATTTCTTGGCGTTCTAAGAAGCAACCCATTGTTTCTAGGTCCTCTGCTGAGGCTGAGTATCGAGCTTTGGCTTTGGCAACTTGTGAGATCATTTGGCTGCATCGTCTTCTTCAAGATTTACAAGTTAAGTCTCCTGCAGCTCCTATTCTCTTCTCTGATAGTAATGCTGCAATCTACATTGCTACTAATCCAGTCTTCCACGAGAGAACGAAGCACATTGAGATTGATTGTCACACCGTACGTGAAAGACTGGATGATGGTTCTTTAAAGCTACTTCATGTTAGAACAGAGGACCAAGTGGCTGATATTCTAACCAAGCCTTTGTTTCCTCATTCCTTTGAGCATCTCAAGTCCAAGATGAACATTCTCAACATTTTCCAATGCTCATCTTGAGAGGGCATATTGGAGTATATATGTGTATATTAATGTATTGGTTTAGTAGCTAGATTAGATCTGGTTAAGTAAACCGAGATTGAGCAATTGTATATAAACCTCTTGGAAAGATTCTTCCTAATCTTAATGAGAAAATTATCTTCATAACTTTTCTCTCATCGTTTCTCTTCCGCTAATATTTTCCTATATTCCTTCGAGATATAACACAAACACATTGTAACAAAAACAACCCCAAACACACAAAAAATTCGCCTTAATATTGTATCTTTATAATACTAACCATGTTACCATGCATGTTCTATCATGGTATATGTATGACTTTTCTTATCGCTCAAGGAACAGCAAACTCTGCAGCTTTGTCCATTATTCTTCAACCTTTCTCAGATCTCAAAGTCTTCACCTTTAATATTGTCTTGAATCCTTTTAACACTTTCGACCATTTAAATCTTACGATTACGTCAACAGGCAATAGAGAGAGATAGAGATATACAGAGAGAGAGAAAGAGAGTTTTTGTTTGCTGTGGAACTCGTCGTTGTCAAGTCGAAAAGGCTTGCATGTTCTGTGAAGGAGATTAGTCATAACAAATGATTTTGACAATAAGAGTCGTTAGGATAATTTTGCCTAGAGCTAAAGACTAAGACATGTCTCATTCATATGTAAACCACATGAACTCCATGTTACTCTTGTCCTACCTCTTTCCCTTGAGCTGTCTTTTCTCTTACAAAACTTTCCGTTTTCTTACACAACTGTTAAAAGAACAATTTATACAGAGTCGTTCTCAGAGTTTTGTATTGCCCCAGACATCTCATATCCCAAAACTCATGTCTCCTTCTTTTATGGTAATCTTTAATTTTCTTCAACCACGTGAAGGAGAATCTATTAAAACTCTTGACTCGTCCTCTTTTTCGTACGACACTGGTTTTTTTCTTTTTTCCACTCAATGACCATTTCTCTTGATCAAGACATTTCATCTCCCAAAAACCCATGTCTATTTATAATAGCAACAGCTCGAATTTATGTTCTTCAACCACGTGGAAGATAATCGATATTTCCTCAACTGTCTTCTTTCTTATAACTCTGTTTTTTCTCGAAAACACATTTAGATACAAATTAATTATGAGTTTGGTTAGCTTCCGAAATATTTCAATCTCCAAAACTCGTTTTCTATAAGTCAACAAAAGAAAGCTGGTTACAGTGAAGCGAATTGTGCAATATAAATGTAAGGTCTTATCATCACATGGGGTTGCAGGAAATTAACCAAGAACGTGGACCCTTTTGCATGCATAGACAAGAAACTGCAAATAATAGTAAGATGATACTATTGCAAGTTATAATCAACTAAATATATATGAACATGTTATCGTACGATGATCAATAGTTGAATAGTGATTTTGAAAATGACAACATCAGCAAATCACACAAAAAAGGAAAAAACAGAGTGGTACCTCGAGAATGAGACTGCACAAAGAAAGCTAGACGCTTTTTTCAATCACCGGTGGTCAATTTTTTCTCCAAATAAAGAGAGGTGTAATGGTTTATGAATAAACCGCGTAACGCCTTTGTCGGATTTTCATTGATCTGACGGAATCATATATATGTAATCTCGATTTATTATACCAAAATGTATAGTATAAAATAACTCATATATCTAAAATAACATGTCTTAAGTACTTTAACCATATGTGCCTAATGGCTCACAAATGTTAACAAGTGCACTCTCAGATCGCTTCTCACATGAATTGTCTTGTGAGTAGTGCAGATAGGTTAACTCACTCAGGCCCATGACAAGAGGCCCAAGAAAAAGCTGTTATAATAGCTACTGGAGTCGAAAGAACAGAGCATTCTTCTTTCTTGTGAAATCTGTTTCTTTTTCTATTTTTTTTTTTTGGTTTTAAAGTTAAGATTTCATTGCAAACGTTGAGATACAAACTACTACTCTACTGAAAGCAGAAGCTAACCAATAACAGAGGAACAAGACAGACAAAAGAATTTTACAAGGGAGACGAGATACGGCTAAAGTAAACTTCAAATCTTGCTTAAGTGTAACAATTGAGTTGAATGCAACAACTGGTTAAGAAAATGAGACACATAATTTCCTCGGGTTAACTCATATTAATTCTCCGCGATTCCGAAAATGGGTACGCTAATTTCAGCCTGATCTTGGTTTTGTTTCTTGGATGACAAGCTATTTGTCATTCCTTTGGTTTTTCATCAAGAAAGCATTACCCTTCTGGAAGATTAAGAAAATAATCTTAAAGAAAGAACATACCTTGTGGAGCATGCTATCAGAAAACGAATTTTAACATTATAACACATATTGACATCAAACACACAAGTATTTGTGACATCCAGCTAAACATATAACTTTCAACATGTATTACCAAATCTCTCTCCCTCTCTCTTGTTTCTGTTAAAGTACCAAATCATTTTGACCAATCGTTATGTGACTTTAGCAAGCAATCTCTTTTTATTTTATTTTTTATCGGATGTCACTTAAAAGAAAAAGCTCATCTTAATGAAGATGTACATTACATCACATACTAGCCATTTAACACCTTGGTGCTTATTAGATGTCAAACGCTATACATTTTGACGTTCAAGAAAACGAAGATCGTCAATCTGACACTTATCAGTGGAAGATCAATCCAAAGATTAAATTCAGATTTGGTTTATGGGCAAAAGGGTTTTGGATAGAAGATGTTTAACCTATTGCAATTGATTCAGTAAGTGGTGGGTTGTTGTAAATGTAGTTTATGTCCACATTAGGAGATTCTTTTCTTAAGAGATATCACATGTTCTTGTCTATGAACATGTCCTTGTAGTCCATAACAACGGTTCATGTCCTTGTAGTCCATCACAACGTCCCTGCTCATGAGTAAATTAGGTGGTCTTCTCAATGATTTCAAAGGACAGGACCACATTACTTAAAATTTCTGTGGCAAGAATTGAATTCCACTAAATGTAGCCTATCTAATATGAGTCATACAAATGAACTCATATATATCAACATCACATCATAATATTGGTTTATGTCTCATTATATCAACATCATACAAATGAACTTTAGACAGAGCCATGTGCTTGTTGATGCATATTCTCTAAACCAATCAATGGGGTTATCTTCAAGTAGTGTTCTTTTCTATAAATACCCATCACTCTTTTTCTTGATCTCTGCAAGTTCTCACACTTTTTTTAGTAAAAAGCAAAAGTCTTTTGAGTTTCAATAATCTTTTCTATAAGAAGATCAAAATCCATGGCTATCAGAACGGCTCGTGTGCTGCAATCATCAAAGAAACTTCTAAAATCGTTGTCACACTCATCAAACAATGTCGATATTCCAAAAGGACACCTTGCGGTTTACGTAGGAGAGAGGATGCAGAAGAGGAGATTCATGGTTCCAGTGACGTACTTAAGTCACCCTTCTTTTCAAAAGCTTCTAAGAAAAGCAGAGGAAGAGTTTGGGTTTGAGCACCCAATGGGTGGCCTCACTATTCCTTGCACTGAACAAATCTTCATCGATCTCGCCTCTCGCCTTAGCACTTCATCGTGATTCACACGGACCAGTAGATCTAAGCTAACAAGAAATTGCATAATGTAAGAACATTAAGACTGAGACTAATATAAACCAGAAATGGTACAACTGTAGGAATATTTTCTTCAATAACAGTGAAAAATCAGTGAACATTTTTGTACAAATCATATTTAAGTATTTAGTCCAAAGTGTCATCATGGAATAAATTAGTCCCATCACCACACAAACAACAAACACAACAAGATGTTGAAACAGAACAGAGGACAAATCTCTGTTGAAAATTAAAGCAAATCTACTCAGATTAAAGACAGAACTAAGAGAAACAACAAAACCATGTTCTTGAGACCAAACAAAATGAAGGATAGATGTATAAAGCTCGTTCAAGAGAGAAAAAATCGCATAGGTAAGAGAACAAAATGACATGCCCATTGCTTTCACATGACTCCAATGATCGTCTCTATCTTCTTCTCCTTGTCCCTTATCAGTCTGATTCAAGTGGAGGATGGACTGACTTGAGTTGTTCTAAATCATTAACATTAAGATCCTCTACGTGGTTTGCAAAGGTGCAAACGCTACAAGTTTTCTTAAACCCTTCACCAAAACCTTGGATTTCAACACGTTGCAGAGTGTTCCTTTCGGGATTGAAGTAAAAAACATAAAACGGTTGTGTAGGTGTATACTTGCGTATCGAAAACACTATCTCACCCGAAGCAGTCACTCCACCAATGGAAACAAGACGATGGAAGAATTTATCATCGCTCCAAGTGTAGGCATATTTCGACCATTCCTGTTTCTCAACATCCTCTAGAATCCACAAACGCAACTCATTAATGGCATCAGCGTCGACATTATCTTCCATATATTTGTCGACATCTATACCCTCCTCATAATAAAGCTCATAAATGTCGACGTCATCCTCCCAATAAATCACAGCTAATTTTCCCTTATAGTTGATCAATCGACAAAACCTTTCTACGTCAATAAAGGTGAATGTCTCAGACCTAACATCAAAGCAAACTATCACATAATCAGACGTTACATCATGACCATCATTAACGTGACCCCAATCCGACGTGTCACCTAAGTAATACAAAACCCCATTGATGCATACCCCTTCACTCTTAACATCATGTCGTAAGAGACAATTTATCTTTCTCCACGTCATCATATCTCCAGCTCCAAATGTAAGAATTTTACTATCACCAGGACCAGATGGACGATAGACCATGGACAATACCTTGTATTGCTTGTCAATGGGGTCAAACCCGAAAAAGCTATACGCCTTTCTGTAGGTATACCGATCAGGTAAGATCGCATACCGTCCTGTGATGGGGTTACATATCACAGGTCTAGCCTGGCCTCTATTACCATATAAATAGATCAAACCAGAGGCATAGCCAATTGAAAAATATTTTAGGTCATAATAATGATTGATCCGTAGATTGTCTGGAGAGAACTTCACATGAAATTCGGCGGCAGCTACAAGAGTCGACGACGATTTCTCATATGGATTCTCAAGCTGAGGCGACGAGAAGAAGCTCCACACACCACAAGATTTTGCGTTTTCCTTGCCGTTTTCTGCGGTGGCGAATAAGAGGCGCGGGTTAGCGGTGAGATCATTCGTTATGGAATTTGAATTCATGATTGCCGATCGAACGAAGAAAGAGATTTGATAAGTAAGAAGACCTAGCTAGAGAAACCAATTAACAAAATACCTAATAAAGAAACGTAGCAATATGTATATTGAAGACCTAGAGACTTACCGCTGCCGTTTCTTAAATTGGAGAAGACACTTGGTGTCGTTTTATTTGCTCGATGAAACTTTCCTGCCGTTATTGGACTCTCAGGAAGGAGTTTACGAGCCATATATTTTCCATAAGCAAGCCACTTGAAGCAGAAAGAGAACATGCGATGCGGACGGACAAAGCTCAGTTGGTTATTCCTTAGAGGCCAAGAAATATAGTTTAAACCAAAGTTTTACTGTGCATTTGCAATCAAACGTGTTTTCCAGATATGACCAGCCAAAATTGCCAATAAAAGTTGCCATTTTTGAGTTGATTATTTGATTTCAGGGTCAGAGTGTATGAAGGAAATGAGAGAGAGGCCGATGAGGCCGCGCCATCTCCAAGAAAGAGAAGAAGAAGAAGTAGAAAGGAGTCAAGGCCGAAGTCATGACCAGCTCGAGTTTATCTTACGGAAGGTGATAAATTAATTCTCTCCCCGGATAACAGATTCAAGATATAGAGCATCAATGGAGGGTTTTGCATCCAAGATATAGAGCATCAATGGAGGGTTTTGCATCCACGAGTCGCCACACACACACTCTGCAAAACACACACCGAGATCTTGACTGCTGTCTCATTCTTGGTGATGTTGAATGAGTGTCACTATTGTTAATGCTGATAGTAGCAACTCAGCAACCGTGAGTTAGCTCCACACTCCTACGGTTGCAATCTTAAATCTCTAATTAGTAAAGGAGTTCCAGTAAGGTGTCTATAACACTCACCTAATAGCACATGGCTTTGCCTCTCTTGACTTGATTGCTTTTGAATTTGGCAGACCAAGACGGACCCTCCGAATCAGATGAGGTAGCTGGAGTTTCCACCTTCAGACAAATCCATGTTAAGACCGGTGTGACAATGAGTTTGTGATTCTTTCTGTTCAACAACTTCAAAGTCTCCCTGTGCTACTGCAACTGCAATGTCTCACCATGTGAACTCTGCCTCTTGTAGGACACAGAGCAATCTCCAGTCAGAGGTTCACCTCATTAGTTTATATATACAGAGAAAGTACCAGCTTTTCATCTCAAAACAAAGCCAAATCATAATCAATAACTCAGAACTTGGACACTAAGTCTTTTTCCCTGATCCATCTGCAGAAATTTCAACAAACTTTGAGAGAGAGCAAAGGCTATGATGCGAGGTATTTTGGCTGCAAGGAAGATTCTAACAAGCAAAGCAGCTTCGACACCAAAAGGATTTCTTGCAGTATATGTAGGGGAGAACAAGAAGAAGAGATATATGGTGCCAGTTACGTTCTTGAACCAGCCTTGTTTTCAAGCTCTGCTGAGTAAAGCTGAAGAAGAGTTCGGGTTTGATCATCCCATGGGTGGCTTGACAATCCCTTGTCCTGAAGATACTTTTGTCGCTATAGCTTCTCAGCTGCAATAGTAGAACCAAACAGAGAAACATTTTTTTCTTTTACTAGAGAATTAGAAACCAATGTATATATATATACATACCTTTTTCCTCTTTCTTGTTGAAAGAGTTGTTGCAAAGGAGAGAAATGTAATGGAAAACACCAGAATTGGTATTTGCCTCACATCATTTTATTCATATATAAAATCTCTCAACAGCAAACTGATAAGACATTAGATCATATCTGCTTCTGAATCATTACACACAAAACTAAAGAATTCAAAAGGCAAAATTCATATAATCACACAATGTCTGAAACACAAGCAAAAACTTTCAACAAAGTAACATAGACGAGATCTAGCCGTATAATCCAACACATGTACTTGTCAATCCAACACATTTGATTCTGACCCTGAATCTCCACTTGGATTGTGCATAGGATTTGCCAATTTCTGAAGCTTCATATCCAGAAATTTGACGGCTGAGTTAATCTGTAAGAAAAGAGCAAAAGCTGATTGAAAAAATAGAAACTTTATCGGATTGATGATGGAATTGGGAAGAAGAAAGCTTACTGATTGTGAAGCTGTCTGAAACAGAGTCTTCGTCAAGGGAACTACACAAAACCTGTTCCACTAGATACTTCAGTTTCCAAGAACAAACCTTTCCGATGAAAAAAAGAAGGGTTTCACTTACATTCCTCTGCCGCCGGCGAGAGCTTCTTCTGATGGGTCCTTCCATTCGTCGACCCTACAAGCCAACACAGAATCATTTTATCTCCCACTAGATTGGAAAATGGTTTTAACTGATAAAGATTGAGAATTTTACACCCAGCCGTATCGGCGGTCAAAGAGAAGCCGTCTGGAAGAGCGGTGAGATGCGGTGGCCGGCGGTTCCATCTCTTCCGGTGTAATAGCCTTGTCGAGCGAGAGAAGGAACGGTTCAGATTATATAATCATTGGGCCTACTTAATCGGCCCATTTACGTATACAGACATAAATATTAGCCCATCGTCTTTCTGCATTTTCACATCACAACGACACAACGTTTAATCGTTGGTGCTTATGTGGGAGGTGTGATATTTTACTCTGCTTGATGAAATTCGCATTAACTTTACCGTGAGAACAAAGGAGAATTAAGCACAAATGCGGTGAAAAAATCATTGGCAATAATAATATCCAAGGGACTCTATGATGATTGATGACCCACAAAAATATACAACACAGTTGAAAGAATTAGGATTTGGCCTGAGAGAGTAACTTGAGAGCAACCTGAGGCTACTCAGATTAAACAAAGCTTGAGACCTATCTTCGTGTTACAAATGTCATAAAGTGTCTTATCTTTTTTTCCTTTATAACTTACACAACCCCAGATGGAAGCCGTAGAACAAGCTGGCCACCGAAAACACTGCACAAGGAAGATAGATCAAAGAGGTGAAACGAAAAGACTGAAGAAGCTTTTGTGGGGCAAGAGAAAGAAAGTACCTTTTAACGTAGTAGTAACAGAAATCTGCCAATATGAATGTTTGGACGATTTCTGAGATTATAACCATTGATGGCCATAGTCCATAACCCAGCACTACAAGCAGGCGTCCCCGGGTGTCCATAATCTGTTTGGACACAGAAGACCAAATCAAATTTTATGCCTTCAGTTTGGAAAAATCACACAAACAAACTTGAGAGTTGAGAATATCATATCTAATGGGGATATTGTGGACTTGCTCGAATGCCATAAGCATAGGATGTCAGAAATATTTGTAAAGCCATAGATTTATGCGAGAGAGGGAAATAACAACTTAACCAAGTGATCCCAACTCTCTGTTGAAGATAAGAACCTACCTGTAAAACCCAGTGTGCACAGCTAAAAAATCTTGCTACTCCAAGTGCAAAAACATAATGAGCCGTGAAGGGTTCGACAATCTGAATGCACCAAACATATCAGGGATTAGACTTGTTTTTAAGTACTCAAGTTTCCGAAAGCAACCACCTTAGAGCATACATACCTTTGTGTTCTGCATCACTCTCAACTGTGGCAGTACAGAAACAGCTTCGAGGTAAACACAGAATCCCCAGGATATTCTATTCAATATATTGTGTGACGTTGATGGATGAATCAATACAGCTAGCACGACACAGGGCACAAGCTGCAAAAAAAACAAAAGGACGCAAACTTAATATTTATGAATCCTTAAGCTATTGCTCCAGTAGTTAGATGCCACCATGTTCTAAAAGGTATGTAATAGGCAGATAAACCAAGTTTGAACTGATACAAATTACGAAGGAACACAAGTTATGCGAAGCTTCAAATGAAAAACAGTAATAAGCACCCTCTTCATCTGATCTTAAAGGTTAAGCTTAACTAAAAACAAAAGACATTTAGCTGCTTATATAACCAACATGCCTAGCAAGCATAGAATCTAAGTAAAAAGATCAATACCGAGAAAGACATACCACATAATAGAGAGCAAAGTTGTCTTTTTCCTCCATGTAAGTAGCTTTGAGCTTAAAACGGATCATATATATAACCCAGAGAGTTGTTCCCAAAGTAGCCAAGTCCAGAATGGTATGTATATCATATTCCATTACAAAACTGCAATAAAGCCTCACAGCTAGAAATATTGCCGTAAGCTCCTGAGATTTCAACGACAATCCTACAAATACCCCCAAAAAAGGTCTGTCATTACTCATTAGGCTTAATCTGTAATAAGAATGCTGATTCAACTAAATAACCGATTAAGAACTCATTTCGGAGAATTGGGTACTCAAAAGTTGAATAAAGTCTACACTTTTATATCTCAACACAGATCGAAATTCCCTAGTTAAAGCAAAACAACAGTGCCCTAATCACCCACGAATGAATTGAACCCTAAAATGAAGTCAAAGGAGGTTGTACCAGCACAAGTCTTCTCCTTCATGAGTTTATAGATAAGAACAGAGATTCCAATAGAATGAACAGCTTCGGCGGCAACGAAGAGATTGTCGTGATCGTGAACGATGAATCTGAGGAGAACAAGCGCCGCCATGCCAGATACGACGGCGAGGAAAGCTTTCACCTTTGGCGGCTGCCTTCTCACCCATGTCGAAACCGCGTGGATCGGAGTCTTCATTTTCGATTCCTTCTTCTTCTTCTCTTGCTTTCTCGGTAAAGTGACGACAAAACAGGTAAATCTGTAAATTGTACGATAACTCCGTTTGTGACCCACACTAAATGGGCCGGGTCACAAAAACCCGTTATGGGCCCTATAAGAAAATATTATCTGTTTTTTTTTTTTTTTTAAATCAATATTTCTAGATATACCAGTGTTTTTTTTACTTTTTGATTTTTTTTTTTTGAATACCAGGAGGCTCTGAACCAAAGAGTGTAATTCTTCCATCTCCGAAACTACAACATGTAATATTAGTTTCGTCTCAAGCGTCACTCGAACCGACAACCTCTAAACTTCGCCTTGGATCTTTACCGTTTGAGCTAACGACACTTGGTCTATTAGGATTTCTTTTTATATAGGCTTATCATAAAAATACAAACTATGCTATAATTTTCAAGCTTTTTTTCCTTTTTGGGGTTACATCTTGTCAATTTTTTAAAACATAACGTATTATTATCTCTTTAATCAAATGCACATTTTATTTTGAGTCTTAATTAAACTAAATCAAATCAATTAAAAATGGATTAATACTGAAACGATCATCGATTCTCAACCACCCCTTATAGATCCAGGTGCGCGACTCACTGTCTCAGATCGTTTGATTTGCCAGGTTGATGGATCTTGGACAGACGCAGCCACATTATGCGGCATTGGATGGATTATTATCTCAGATTATCAACTTATTAATCTTGAACTCAAGTGTTTTCGACAATGTTTATCCCCACTTCACACAGAGTTTGAAACGCTTCTCTGGGTAATGAGATCCCTCACATCATTATCTATTTTTAATGTTGCCTTCGTGACAGATTGCAAGGAGCTGACTCAGCTTTTGGACATTCCGAATGAGTGGCCTGCTTTTGCTTCGGAGTTAGAAAATTTTAATGTTTTCAAACTTGGTTTTCCTCGTTTTTCCTTAGATTTTATTCCACGTTTAAACAATATCCGTGCCGATTGTCTCGCTAAGAAGGCAAGAGCACGCAATTCTATTTTTTCCCAAAACTCCTCAACACCGGACTGGTTTTTTCCGGTAGAAAACCGTCCGTTTCTAACTTAAATAGATGATTTTATTTAGGTGTAAAAAAAAAAAATGGATCAATATTGTTGTCTATGTACAAAAAGATCAATGATACGAACATACCAATCCTTGGAAACGACATCTAATTATATATTCAATGAGTGGAACAAGGTGAAGTGATTGTCTTTTTCATGGTAGGCCACTAAGATAAGCTTCCTTGTTCTCATGTCCTAACCACCAATCACTCGTATCTCATACAAATCCGATCAGAATTTAAACATCTGTCTTGTTTTTGGATAGAGTTAATACGTACTAATCTTTTTTTTTCCAATTAACAACACTACTCGATCTTTAAAAGTTACAATCATTTCTACAAAATTTACTTGTTTTTTTGTGGAGTTGAAAACTCCATGTATATATTGTCATGGGACGATAGCGAAAGCTAAGCAAAGGAATATCTAAGAAAAGAGTACAAGTAAAGATGATATAAACGCAAAATAATCATGACGAAACCAAATGCTTAATCGGCTTACTGTCAAGACGAATAAGTCTATCGTAATTAGATAAACTATGATCCGACTAATCCACGAATTTACATATGTAAATTACCACATATATTCCTTCGTTACCCCACTAGCTAGTACTAATGATTTTTCTCAAAATAGTGGTATCAATATCATCATCAACCATAATAATATCATTTATATAGTAATACCTAACAAACCATTATCTCTGTCTTTATCTTTCTTTGTTTTATTATCTTCCTAGCTAGTAATAAAAAGCATTTCTCAAGTCAATAATAAACCAAAGAAAACAGTGAGGGAGGGCGAGGCGATGCATTACCACGGCTGCTGCTGCGGACGGTGTAGGGTATCGACGTCTCCATTGCCGGTAATAGTCATGATCACGGTGGCGCTCGTCCTCTTAGCCCTTTCCTCCGCCGTGAAATTCGAAGTTGCTGTCTCCTCAGGCGAAGATGTGCTGAGCTGGCTTCTCCTCGCCGCGGTTCCCTTGGCTCTGCTCTTTGCCGTGAGATGTCTCTCTTGTCTTGAAACGTCCAAGCGATCTACTTACTACTGTCCTTGTGGTCGCTGGAGATGCGTTTGCTACTACTAGTTCTGATCTCGCGGTTAGTGTTGTTGCGTTTGCGTTTGTGTAAATAAATGATTTCGTAAAATTTTAGGTATTCTTGATGTTTACGTGAAGCAAATATGTGTGACGTGAAGCACCGATTTTGGTGGATTTGACGAACGTGATAGATCACAATATTCAAATCTAACCTTAACCTTAGTTTATATTAATTTATATGATCGGTCTTGCTATATCTTCAATCATACGGCGAAACTTTTTTTTTTTTTTGTCGTATTTCTCCTCTTCCAATAAAAATTTAATTTCCATTGTATAAACACCATACAAAATAATAGAATCGAAAATAATGAAAATAAAAATCCGATTAGTAAAGGTTATAGTGTTACAAAAGTCAAAGAAATCAGGGTGAGGCTGCGCAGCCGTGAGATGTTTATAATTTTTCATGTAGAGCCCACCGTTACTATGCGTGTATAATAACTTATCTTTTTCTCTATAAATAGAATGTTAAACGTTCATTGTAAAATCACGATTGATACTTCAACAATAAGAAGTTATAAGAAATCTCTCTCCTCCTCTCATCTCTTTATTATCAATATCCCGATCCTTCTGAGGGTATAAATTCTTTCTCTATTATTTATATTTATATACACTATAAATAAAGTAATTATTTATAACACGTTATCAGCACGATCACTCTATGATCGCCGGAAAAAATAAGATATTATACCGGGCGGTATGTCGCCTCGTTAAAAGAAAAAATATGAGAAAAAAAAAAAGAGAAAAGAAAATTATATAAATAAATAAAAGAAACTATATATGTATATATATGTTACTTCATGCACCATAATTATTTATTTTCTGTCAATGGTTAGCTGAGCCACCTGAAATTTTATTTACTGCTTTAAATATTTATTTCTGCTACCGGTCGGCTGAGCCGCCACATATTTATTTACTGTTTCTATGTGAATGACTCCGTGACCATAATATCACTGTGAATTATTTGTTTATATTATGGTTTATTCACCTGTATATATATTTTTATCTGAATCGATAATTTTTATCAGATTGATCTCTAATTTTTCAGATTAATTTTTTTAAAATATTTTTCCGCCAACGGTCTCAAAGAAAAATTTCAAAATTTTTTCAAAAAATTCAACTTTTTCAACGGCTAGGAATAGTATTTTTCAATCTATAAATTCATTCATTTTCTCATTCATTTCATCAAAACAAAATTTTTTATCTCTCTAAAAACTCTCTCCGAAAAAAAGAAGAAGAATTTTGAAGTTTTGAAGTTTTGAAGAATGTTTCGATTACTTTTAATATTTGCTTTTGGAATAATTATTTTGTGTATTTATAATCTTTGCGTCGTAGATTTTACTCCGCAAGAATTTCGTTTGAACATTAGTTTACTTGTTTGTACGCTTTTTCTTTTTGTAATCGCTTGCATTATTAATGTAAACGGTTCATTTTAAATATGTTTTAAAATAAATTAAATAAAGATTTCTAATAATATTCCATGTTTTTATTTTAGAAAACAAATGGCAAACATTGAAAAGCTTAAGATCCAAGCTCTTCAAATCACTGGAGCGAATTACATAGCATGGACCACTGATGTGGAACTTCATTTAGATTCGCAGAGTTTATTGGAGACGATAAAAGAGAAAAATGAATCACCTGCCAATGAAAAGGCAAAGGCGATAATTTTTCTAAGAAAGCATCTAGATGAAAATCTGATGCATGATTATGCAAATGTAAAAGACCCCGTGGAGTTGGGGAAAGCTTTAAAAAATAGGTTTGACAACCAGAAAGCAATAACTCTCCCACATGCCCTTGACGAATGGGCAAACTTGAGGTTCCTAGATTTTAACAAGGTAGCACAGTATAATTCTACCATGTTAAGAATCGTGGCTCAGTTGGAATACTGTGGTAAGAAAGTGAGCGAAGACGAAATGCTCAATAAAACCTACCTTACATTCCATAAGGAGCACTATGTTCTTGCAGAACAATACAGGAACTGCAAGTACAAAATGTTTTCCGAGGTGATTGTGGCGCTTATGATAGCAGAGAAGAATAATGAACTTCTCATCAAAAACCACAATGCTCGGCCTGCAGGAACCAAAGCATTCCCTGAAGTGAATGCAACGGATGTAAAAAATCCGGAGAAAAAGGATGTAAACTATCCTGAGAAAGGGAATCAATCATATCGGGGTCGTGGTGGTCGTTTTAATCGTGGGCGTGGAAGAAATTACAACTCACGTGGAAGGGGGTCGTTCAAATGGGTTCGTCCTCAAAATGATTCAAAAGGGAAGGAACACCAAAAAAATTCCACCCAGAAGAGTGAGAATATGTGTTATAGATGTGGATCTAAGGGACATTGGGCCCGTACGTGTCGAACTCCTCCACATCTTTGTAAGCTGTACATGAATTCCACGAAAAGAAAAGGGAAAGAAGTCAATTTAGCAGAAAACTTCGAGAATACATCGTATCTCGATTCTCCCTCCTTTGCAAATGATTTGGATTAGACCGCTTTTGCGGTTAACTAAAGAGCTTGTATTGAGACTGCTGAAATAGTCTCTAGTTATGCCATATATATAATATTATGCTTTTGTTATTTTGAAAAATAATGTTGTTTTAACAACAATTTAATGTATAATTATTGTGTGTTTTCCTTTCATGAATAAAATTTACTTTCTTTTTATTGATGTTTATCTTAATCACAGAAATGGATGAAACAATCTCCAAGGAAATGGCTCAAGAAATTTGTATACCAGATAGTGGGACAACACACACTATTCTAAAGGAAAAAAAATATTTCTCTAACTTAAAACCAACAAACATTATTATCAATACAATATCAGGTCCTGTAGACGTGATTGAAGGAACTGGTATGGCCAACTTTATGTTGCCTAATGGAACCAAGTTTTCCATAAAAAATGCCTTGTATTCTCCAAAATCTAAAAGGAATTTGTTGAGTTTCAAAGACATATACCTTCAAGGATATGATACTCAGTCTGCAACTGAGAATGAAAAGAAGTATATGTACATAACTTCTGATAAATCGGGAAAAAGGCTTATATTGGAAAATTTTCCAAAACTTCCTTCAGGATTGCATTATACTCATATAAGTGCAATCGAATCGCATCTAGTGATTAAAAGAAATCCAGAAGATTTCACACTATGGCATGATCGCCTCGGTCATCCAGGCACCTCGATGATGCGAAAAATCATAGAGAGCTCACGTGGACACCCATTGAAAATCCAGGAGATATATCATGGGAATTAAAAGACATGTGCCGCATGTTCTCTTGGAAAACTTATCATAAGACCATCGCCAACCAAAATTGATAAAGAATCACCAAAATTCCTTGAACGAATTCAAGGAGATATTTGTGGACAAATACATCCACCATGTGGACCATTCCACTATTTCATGGTATTAATTGACGCATCTAGCAGATGGTCACATGTTTGTCTATTATCATCTCGAAATATGGCATTTGCGAGATTTCTAACTCAAATAATCAAACTGAGGGCTCAGTTTTCTGATTACCCTATTAAAAGAGTTAGACTAGACAACGCTGGTGAATTCACATCCCAAGCTTTTAATGATTATTGTATGGTAACGGGAATTGAAGTAGAACATCTTGTAGCTCATGTTCATACACAAAATGGTTTGGCTGAATCTTTAATTAAACGCCTGCAATTAATTGCAAGACCATTGATCATGAGATCAAAACTCCCAACCTCTGTATGGGGACACGCTATTTTGCATGCTGAAGCACTTATCCGAATGAGACCAAGTGCATATCATAAATATTCCCCATTACAACTAGTATTTGGTCGTGAACCAAATATTTCTCATCTAAAGATTTTCGGTTGTGCGGTATATGTGCCTGTAGCACCGCCACAACGTACAAAGATGGGACCCCAACGAAGGTTAGGGATATATGTGGGTTATGATTCTCCATCCATTATAAGGTATTTAGAACCTCGAACTGGTGACCTCTTTACGGCACGCTTTGCTGACTGTCATTTTGATGAAAAAGAGTTCCCAGTTCTAGGGGGAGAAAACAAACAAGTAGGAAAGAATATAAAGTGGAGTGTACCATCTTTGTTACATCTTGATCCTTCTACGAAACAGTCGGAAATGGAAGTTCGACGAATTATGCATTTACAAAGTATAGCAAATCAATTACCTGATGCTTTTGCAGATACTAAAACGATAATCAAATCACATATTCCAGCTGCAAATGTTCCTGCTCGGATTGAAATTCCACAAGAACATGGAAAAGCAGACGATACACGTGAGTCTAGAACACGCCTGAAGCGTGGTAGACCAGTTGGTTTTAAGGATAAAAATCCTAGAAAACGAAAGGAAGCTGAAAAGCTCGATACTCCCAAAATAGCTGAAAATATTTTGGAGGAGACAAATCATGAGAATAATGATGATGTAGAAAATCGTGAAACTGAAGGAAATCATGAGATTTCTATCAACTATATCCATAATGGAAAGATCTGGGATCGAAATAAAATGGATGAAGTCGATGACGTTTTCTCATACCTCGTAGCAAAAGAAATTGATGAGGAAAACGAGGATCCAGAACCAAAGTCGGTATATGAATGTCAAAAGAGACATGACTGGATAAAATGGAAAGATGTAATACAAGTCGAACTTGATTCGCTCAATAAGCGAAATGTATTCGGACCTATTGTACTCACACCTAAAGATGTGAGACCGGTTGGATACAAATGGGTTTTCGTTAGAAAAAGAAATGAGAAAAATGAAATTACGAGATACAAGGCTCGTCTCGTAGCTCAAGGATTTTCTCAAAGACCCGGGATTGATTATGAGGAAACATATTCCCCCGTTATGGATGCAATAACGTTTAGATTCTTGATGAGTCTAGCGGCTGATGAAAATTTAGAAATGCGTCTCATGGATGTTGTTACAGCATATTTGTATGGATCATTAGATACAGATATCTATATGAGAGTTCCCGACGGGTTTAATATGCTAGAAGCATTGAAATCTAAACCCAAAGAGTTATCTGCAATAAAGTTGCAAAGATCATTATATGGGTTAAAGCAATCTGGGCGAATGTGGTATAATCGTCTCAGTGAACATTTAACGAAAGAAGGATATGTGAACGATCCTATATGCCCATGTGTTTTCATCAAGAAAACAAAATCCGGATTTGTGATAATCGCGGTATATGTTGATGATCTAAATATAATTGGGACTCAAGCAGAAATACAGAAAGCAACAAACTATTTAAAAGGGGAATTTGAGATGAAAGATCTCGGACAAACAAAATTTTGTCTTGGCCTACAAATTGAACATACTCAAAAGGGTATATTTGTTCATCAATCCACATACACCAAAAGAGTGTTAAAACGTTTTAATATGGATAAGGCAACTCCTCTCAGTACTCCAATGGTCGTTAGATCACTTAACGTTGAGAGTGATCCATTTCGACCGCATGAGGAAAATGAAGAGATACTTGGTCCTGAAGTACCGCATCTAAGTGCAATTGGAGCCCTTATGTATCTTGCGAATTGTACAAGACCTGATATATCATTTGCCGTTAATCTTTTGGCAAGATTCAGTTCATCTCCTACGAGAAGGCATTGGAATGGGATTAAACATATCTTCCGATATCTTCAAGGGACGATGAATTTAAGATTATTTTATCCTAAAAATTCAAAAGGGCAAATGGTTGGTTTTGCAGATGCAGGATACTTATCAGATCCACATAAAGCCCGATCACAGACTGGATATGTCTTTACAATCGGAGGCACTGCTATATCCTGGCGTTCCCAGAAGCAAACGCTTGTGGCTACTTCTTCAAATCATGCTGAAATCATTGCACTACATGAAACAAGTAGAGAATGTGTATGGTTGAGATCAATAAGCCAACACATTCAATCAAGCAGTGGGATCAACGTAAACAAAGAGCCAACCATCCTATATGAAGATAATGCTGCATGCGTTGCCCAAACGAAGGAAGGATATATCAAAAGTGATAGAACCAAACATATCCCTCCGAAATTCTTTTCATACACCCAAGAACTTGAGAAGAATAAAGACATTAAAGTCAAATATGTCCGATCATGTGACAATGCTGCAGATCTCTTCACAAAATCACTACCTACCTCGGTGTTCAAGAAGCATGTCTATGCTATTGGAATGCGCCATCAACGCGATCTGTAAAGTTAATCACTCGAGGGGGAGATTACTTCGTTGTACTCTTTTTACCTACTAAGGTTTTTCCCACTGGGTTTACTTAGAAAGGTTTTTAACGAGGCAACAGAAGACGTTACACAAGACAATAGTGACACTGGTCTCCAAGGGGGAGTGTTACAAAAGTCAAAGAAATCAGGCTGAGGCTGCGCAGCCGTGAGATGTTTATAATTTTTCATGTGGAGCCCACCGTTACTATGCGTGCATAATAACTTATCTTTTTCTCTATAAATAGAACGTTAAACGTTCATTGTAAAATCACGATTGTTACTTCAACAATAAGAAGTTATAAGAAATATCTCTCCTCCTCTCATCTCTTTATTATTAATATCCTGATCCTTCTGAGGGTATAAATTCTTTCTCTATTATTTATATTTATATACACTATAAATAATGTAATTATTTATAACATATATCAATTTTTTTTTAACCAAAATGTAATTAGAAAAGAAAGCTGTAAATTAACAGAGTAATTAATTATGTCATTTTGAGATTAGGCAGATTAGAGTTAAGGTGCTTAGGGTAAAAGGTGAAATCATTTAACGTCGTCTTTGAATTTTGTGTTGCTTATGGAAGAGGTGATCAATGACAACAGTTAAAGCAAAGGAAAATAAGGAAAATTGACAATGACGCTCCACCTACATATTGTCTAGGTGTACCCCATTGGCCATTACGAAAGAGAAAAGCAACACAAATTTCTTACAGTATTTAATTAGAAAATGACCAATTATCTGTATCCACGTTAGCTTTAAATTATCTGTATAACTCATCTCTTACATTTGAAATTCCAAAAAAAACATCTCTAAGAAAAGAAAAGAAAAATGTAATTCTTTAGATAGATACATGGAAAAACTGGATCAAGTGAAAGAATACACACAAAATTCTAGTCTTTATAGTAAGACACCGAGCTCATTTTTATAGTATCTAATTGTATGTCATTATATTTTATTTTCTAAGCAAAGAACTCAAAGTGAAAAACCTATTTATTTGCTACGGTATTAATAAAAGTTAATCCGATATAAATATGCTGTTCAATATAAGTATTTTTTAGTTCGCTTTGATATTAGTCGATATAAAATCATTAGTCGAAAATAACATGTTAGAAATTCTACATTATCTATAACTAGATCATGACCCGCACATATACGTGCGGGTTTCATATTTTTAAAAAAGTTCTAACAAATTTTAATTTAATATAGATTATTCGTTGTTTATATGATATATATTTTAGTGTATTAGATATGGATTTACACGTACGTGCAGAGATGTTTTAAAAATATAAAATATTTTGTTGTGTTAGTGAACTTTATAATAGTATAAATATTATAAAATTAGAGTAATGAACGAAATTCAGTTGCGTTAGTGCATAGTTATATTTTAAGATACGCACCTACACGTACGTGCATACTTATATTTAAGATAAAATTAAGATATAATTTAGTTGCAAAAGTTAAATGATGTTACTTTTTTATTTTCTAAACTAATCAAAACATTTCTAATAGTTTGATTACATGTGTTAAATAGGATTTAGATTCGGTTTGAGTTTGGTTATTTCATGTATATTAGCTAGGCGTAACTATTTTAGAACGGGAAACCTATCCCGTCATGTATCTGTCATAAATTCTTGGTCCCATAAACTGTCTCGTATATGTGAAATAAAAATATGATGGTCCAGTATCCGACATAAAGAATATGTGTAACTGAAAATGTACGTACAGGGTTATGTATGTAAACAAATTTATTTTATATAGTGCTCATAACCTGAACTCATACCAATTGGGTATTTAGTTTGATTTTTAATTTATGTTCTCCTCTCATCCCGTCTCGTAATTCCTATTCTCATTTCATTCCATTAAAATTATGTTCCAAATTCTTGTTTGCTTACTTTTAAATATCATACAATACATACTGTGAGTTTTACAGATTAATATAAATGCTGCTAAAGTTACAAATATATTTTAACAAATTTATTAATATTTATTTTCTTAGCTAAATTTTGTATATTTTTATTTTTATTGTTTAATCATAATTAATTTGATTTTTGGACTAAAAATAAAAATTTGAGATACATCTCTAAAAGGGATATGCTATTGCTGCATAATTTGTTTTGAATTCAAAATATATAATTAGTTTACATTATTTGAAAACTGTGTGCAATATATTAGAGATTTATTTAAGGAAGATCCGGTTGAAAAACAAAAAATAAAACGTAAAATAATTTAGAAATTAATATATACAATCTATTGATAGATATTTATCAAACTTGCTCTAAACGAAGGTTATAATGATAATTACTTTAAATTTATTATTATTTGAGTTTATTTCATCATAAATATAAATAGTTGTTAATATCTAATATCGTATTTTAGAAATTGTGAAATAAAATTTTGTTTTATATTTTAAAATTTGTGAAAATATTAGAACAAAACTGAATCTTAAAATATTTGTATTTAATTTTAAATTTAATCTTAAAGTCATCCATTGATAAATCTTTTAAACGATAGTGTTTTTAATTTTGAATTAAAATGATATTATTTTTCTTTTTATTTTTGATATAGAATATTCTATTACGATTGGTTTAGATAAAATCTTAGTTGGATATCAAATCTTAGTTTTTCAATTCTTATTGGTTAACAATTTTTTAAAAATTAATTTCAAATTTTCGTTTATAATTAATAAAAGAGAGAAAATTAGTGTTTTTTTGGAAATTAATAATTATTTAAAAGAATTAAACTATTTTTAATTAAATATATTAATTTTGTGATTATTATTGTACCCTTAATGAAGTTATTTAAAAATACAAAAAACCAGTGGCATTTTTTGTAATATTTTACTCTTCATAAGGTTACTTAATATTTAGTGATTCCCAATTAATAATATAGATATGAAATTTAAAGTACCTAGCTACTATATTTAAGAAAATGGACCATTCTACTAATCTTTGAATTATATGCTAATGAAATTGAACATACAAACATTATATAATGTTTCATCTGTCGGTCAAACATAATAATATTATAACCTAAAGGCGGTTTCTATAAGTTTGCCTCAGCACATAAAAGAAGAGCTTCTCTCATCATCATCATCACTATTGTAGAAACTAACTATGGCATATGGAGAGAGATCATCGATCTTGGATTCATTCTCGCTCTCGCCACTACCATACCCAGTTCTCTTGATCCTAGCCGTTGCTTCAGTGTTCTTGTTGAGTTCATGGTACTTCAGCTTGGAAGATGCAGCCGAATCAGCGGGAGAGCAGATAAATTTTGCTCTGCTCTTGATTCCTCTGTTTCTTATAGTCTTGGTCCGGTGGTTATCTTCCATGGAGAACCCTGACGCGATTCTCGGGATGTTTTCGAACCGTCGTCGGACAACTTACGTGAGTCCCAGAGCCGGAGGTGACGGTGGAAGCTCGCCGTGGGGGGTGGCGGCTTTGATAGTTTTGTTGCTTGTATTGCTTCAGTATCAATCAAGTTTCTTGGAGATGTGGTTTGGTTAATGATAATGACAGGTTTTCACGTGTTTTTGTTTTGTCGTCTAGTGTCACGATGATGTAAAAATTTGGTCACGATGATATCTACTTCTCTTGCGTTTACACGTTGCCCAATATTATTGGGGATAGATTCAAAATCAATAATTTATACTTGCCTACTTGGAGCATGGAGTATGCTGTAGTTTATTATTTTTAAAAACTGCATTTTTCAAGAATTCATACCAATTTACGATAAAGTTTCAAATTTGAAAAGGGTTTTTTTTAGTAAAATAGACATTTTTTCAAAAGTTTTTTTGAGAAATAGGTAGTTTTTTTAGAAATAGGAGGAATAAACACTTTTTTGCTTTTGTGAGATAGAGGATATGTGTAATATAGTAAATGACAAAATAAGTGTCAAATACAATTTTACCCTTTGTGTTGTGAGAAAGAACTTTTGATGTGGGTTCAAACTTTTAGGAATAATAGATCAAATACTATTTTTTAGAAACAATTAATAAAATTATTTTTTTCTTTTCTTTAATTTGTATATTTTTCTATCACCAATATTATAAATAACATTTTGTATATTAATGTTTGTACACTCGTTTGTACACTAATGTTTATACACTCGTTTGTACACTAATGTTTGTACTCTAATGTTTGTACATCTGTAATGTACACTAATATTTGTACACCCGTTTGTATATTATTCAATTGAAGTAATGTTTGTACTTTCATACGTAATGTATACTAATGTTCGTACACCGGTTTGTACACTACTCTCGTACACTATCGTTTTTTTATATTAACACTTGACAAAAATGGTTCTCTCATTCTAGACGTGGTGTACAAAATATGTGAAGGTGTACGATATTGTAGACGGTGCAGAAGGTGGTGTATGGTGAGATCTACTATCTCATCGTTTCATGTACACCATTAATATCATGTACACCATACATCGTATTATATAGTTGTACACTATTATAGATTGTAGTTTGTATACTGTCATATCCAGTATATCACTTCTTACATCATGTGAGTATCATACATTAATTTTTACATTATCGTCGTACACTACCGTTTGTACACTATCTTTCCATTATCATGTACACCGTCGGGTTGAGATTAAATATAAAAATTGTTATGTATCGACAAAATATAGCAAAATTGGACTTTTTAGATTCATAAAAAAATATTAATGATTAATGTTATTGTGGTAAATTTTTTTTATGAAGAATTTTTAGCAAAATAAAGTGAAATTATTTAAGTCAAAGAGAAAAAAGAGAAAAAGAAAAACTTTTGACTAAGTCAATTATGTCATTATGTGGGTATATAAAAACAAAAAAGCATAAATATGTCATTTACTAATATCTCTATTAGAGAGAAATGTGTATTAGAGAAGAAAGAGAAAAGTGTCTATTTTTCTAATTTTAAAAAAAAACTACCTACTTTACCAATTATTAGTGGAAAAAGTGTCTACTTTACAAATTTTCTCATTTGAAAAAGACCCTCTCAATGGAAAATAATACATCTATAATCAATGTATGATATTCATATACTCCCTCGGTTTCACAAAGAGTGTCATTCTACACTTTTACACACATATTAAGAAAACTATTAAAATTTCTATTATACCCCTTATCAATACACTAAACAAAATTATTTCTCTTATTAATACATTAAAGAAATAGGGTTAAAATTGGATTTTTACTCAAAATTTTGCATTGAAAATACAAAACGACACTCTTTGTGAAACAAAAATAAAACCTTAAAACGACATTCTTTGTGAAACGGAGGGAGTAGTTGTCACCACTATTTTACGAGTCGTGATTAATCATAAACAAAAATGATCCACCGAACCGCTTGTAGTGGCACTATTTGGCTCAAGAGCGTAGGTAGACGACTCACAACATCTTTTTTTTTTTTTATCAAGACTCAACATTTTTAGTTCTGTATATGATTTGTTTCTTGTTAAAAAGTTATATAATAAAGTGGTACAAATTAGCATTATCAAATCAATATAATATTTTTATTAATAAATACTATTTTTATTGCACACTAAAAATTGTTTTCTACATAGAATTATATTCTAAAAATGTAGTATTTATTAATTCGACCTAATAGACTTGGTCGCTTGGATAATGAGTCAAAACATGTTATAGGGAAAATGGAAGAGTGGCTGACGTGGAAGAATGAAAGAAGATGATTGGTTTAGACGTGAATGATGCGTTGGCAGTTGACGTGGAGATAGAGAGTTGGAGCTATATGAAGAATTATCGATTATTGGCAGAAATTAACCAGAAAAATTGTAAACGTTTGTTATCTTCTTCTTTGAATCTCTTGTTGTTGCTAGGTTTCTCTCATCTCGAGAGCTAGCGTTTGATCGTTTGGGTGTTTTACGAACATCAGAATGATTCTTTGGGTTACGGATTGTTAATCGGAGTTGTTTTGAAGTGAATCGTGAAGTTTACTGTACCAAAGGTATCAGAGTTCTGTCATCCTCATATTCGTATCAATGGCGGAGACACTATCTCAGATGTTATTCAAGGAAACGGTGGTTCGTGAAACCATGGCGGAGACTCGATCGCAAGCTGTGGTGATGGAAGAAACGATTGGATCGAGGATTCAGGCGTTAGAAGATTTGGTGAAGGAACAAAATCAGAAGTTTTATGGAACTCTTTCAGAGATGATCGAAGCAATTCGATCAAACAGATTTAAGAGAGTTTTAGATGATCCAATTTCTGAGTTAAAGCAGCTAAAAGAGAAGATTTATATTGTTGAGTATCACAAAAAGGTTGAGCTGTTTAGCACAAGAGTGAATCTGAGAGAAGATGAATTGGTTAGAGTCTATTTGGATGGTCTACAAATAGATACTCAAGTGAATGTTCAAATGTTTCAGCCTCAAACGATTCAGCAATGTTTCTCAATTGGAAGATTATATGAGTATGCACATCCTAGAAGCAACATTGATAACGTTGGGATCCTTCCACTTAAGAGAGATAGTGAACTGAAAGCTGAGGAGGATAACAAAGAAGAAGGAATTGAGGTTGAGATTGAATTGATTGTCTTAGAAGACAAATTAGTACATGGAGCAATCATGGAGGAAGCATTAACTCCACAATTTCAGGTACCGATTTCTAACTTGGAATCTAGCCTTCGATTTTACAATGCATCACCAGTTGTTTGTGAGGATTCCCACTCTGTTATTGTTGGCTGTGATGACTTGTTTGATCATCAAAAAACTATATTGCAAGCTTCAAACACCACCAAATTGCTTCAGAAATCAAAAGTGTCACTAACAATCAAGTTGCACACCAACTATTCGAGAAAATGCCTCTCAGAGAACAAAGTAAGAAGAGGCATATTAAGTGTTCCAAGTGTTGGAGATTCAAATTCAAACAAAGGAAACAAAGAGAGGCAAGCCACGAATAGTACACAAACTGATTTACAGAGGAGGTGTCATGTACAAATATTTTGGTTCAAGGGCCAAAGTTGCATTGATGAAGAAGAAGAACAAGTTCTCTAAAACTTGGTCTACGCTTAAAGATGGTTGTTTTAAGGAAGATAATCAAGTGTATCATAAATCACTTCCAATATTGTTACTTATCAGATTCAAGTTCTGGGAATTCAAGTTCATAAACATGAATTTGCAGAAAATATGGGAGAGCATTGGCTTGGGATAATAGAGAGTGATGCAGGTCATGGACAACAAGCTGTGTATAAGCTGATTGTAATGGTGAACGAGCGGTTGTTGCAAACCAGTTTGGTTATTCAACAAGTGATGAGAAACAAAAAAATCAAGTCTTCTAATGGTGAACGAAAGGTTGTTGCAAACCAGTTTGATTATTCAACAAGTGATGAGAAACAAAAAGATCAAGTCTTCCAAGCGATGGTGGTTCAAGTACAAATCTGTGAAAGAGGGTATGAGGAGATTACACATTGAGTTGAGTTATATGTGCAAGTTAGAATCTGAAGAGTGGTTTAACAGTTGGAACCGCAGAGATTGGCTTAAGTACAAAACCATGCCACTTCAAAAATTGGAATGTTCCAAATCTAGTGACTTGAGAACTTCTAAAGGGTCTGTTCTCCTCTTATACTCTGCACATGTGGACATAAAAATCAACTTTTATGTGTGGCATTGTTGGAGAACAAAGTTCAAGCTATGCTTGATTGGTCTCATTGATCTCCTGCAAAGAGAAGTGTTGAATCACTCACATGATCAGATCGTGTTGAAGATGATTAGAAGAACATTTCTAAGCTTGACGATAAAGATGCATGCATATATGCGCTTGTTTGGTATCTATAGTTGTGTTTCAAATTTGGGAAAGAGGAAGTTAGGCAAAGATTGGTGGTTTAAATACAAGACAGTTGCAATGGTTAAAGATCTACTCACGAATCATCAGGAAGAACAACTAGGACTTAGACAACATCGGATGATAAAGTTGTCACAAGCTTGGCGACTCAAGTCTGCTCGTTGCTACTTTTATCCAAAGCTCTCTGTTGGAGACTTCAAAAACAAGGCTTGGGATTTGGTAAAACAAAAGCTATGATTCATGTGGAAGAGGTTACATGGGAGCTACTCTATAAACTGAAAAAGAAGTTCCATGAACCTTGAGGTCAAGGTTCTCTACGGAGGGGAGATTTGTTATAGGTAAAATGGAAGAGTGGCTGACGTGGAAGAATGAAGGAAGATGATTGGTCTAGACGTGAATGATGTGTTGTCAGCTGACGTGGAGATAGAGAGTTGGAGCTATATGGAGAATTATCGATCATTTGCAGAAATTAACCATAAAAATTGTAAACGTTTGTTATCTTTTTCTTTGAATCTCTTGTTGTTGCTAGGTTTCTCTCATCTTGAGAGCTAGCGTTTGAACGTTTAGGTGTTTTATGAACATCGGAATGATTCTTTGGGTTACAGATTGTTAATCGGAGTTGTTTTGAAGTGAATCGTGAAGTTTACTATAACAAAACAGGTTCACTAGTTACGAAAGCAGTAAAAGATCCAATGAAATTTTGATAGGCGGTGAAATCGGTGTTACATCGATATCTTCTATCAAAGCGGATCCACAAAAAAGACTACTCTAAACCGTAGAGAACTTTAGCCACCGAACCACAACGATGAACGAATCCACCACACCTTGTCATTTTGAGGCACCTGATCTTAGGGTTGGACTCTGAAGCGCGTGATAACGAGACGTGACATAGGCGCGTGAGAACCAGGCTTGAAACAATCTGTGAGTGAAGGAAAGACAAAAGTACCCTTGTGAGTAAGAGAGAGAGCACAACCACCAACCCTCCTCATCGCCTCTATCTCCTCTGCTACCTTAAGCTGAGAGAGTCACAGTCTCGTCTCTATCTCTCCTCTTTGCCTTTTTTTCCACTCACTACACGCCAAACCCGACGACATGGCAGCTACCTCTCTCACTGCCCCTCCTTCTTTCTCCGGTCTCCGCCGCATTTCTCCCAAGCTCGACGCCGCCGTCTCCTCCCACCAATCCTTCTTCCACCGCGTCAGTTCCTCTACCCGTCTCGTTTCTTCCTCTTCTTCTTCTCATCGCTCTCCCAGAGGCGTTGTTGCCATGGCTGGATCCGGAAAGGTTCCAACTTTAACCCTATTGAAATGCTAGATTCTCATTGTTTAGGATTGAGTATTTGAGTGATAAAGGTTATTCCTTTTGGTTGCATGATTGGTATCCAGATTCTCTAAATTGATTCTCTTCATTTGATTCAATGCAACTTTGGTTTGATACACCAAAAATGTATTGAAAGCTAGATTCAGAGTTTATTATATGATTGAAGAAGAAAGCTGTTCCTTTTAGAAGAAAAAGAATCTCAATTCTCTTCATTGGATTCCATGCTTACCTTTGGTTTTGTTTGTTACTCCACAATTTTATTGAATGCTAGATTCAAGATTTGGAGTGTCTTCCATATTTTAACTTGTCTAAACACTTGCTTACTCTGTCTCTTGTGCTGCAGTTTTTCGTTGGAGGAAACTGGAAGTGTGTAAGTACAATGCGCAAAGTCTTTCCTTTTCTTCTGTATCTTGTCTTTCCTGAAACTAATGTCTATTGTGGCGTGTGTTTTAGAACGGGACTAAGGACTCCATCGCCAAGCTTGTCTCTGATCTCAACAGTGCAACCTTGGAAGCAGATGTAGGTGAGTTTCTGCTACTTTTCCAATGATCCAAGCTCTATATTTCGGACATTGAAAATGGACCTTGGCAAGTATTTTCTGCTCAATTCCATCCATTTTAGTTTGCCTAATTGAAGTTTTAAGGACCTCATGTTGACCATTTGTTCTAAATGATCGTTTTTGTGTAGATGTTGTTGTGTCACCTCCATTTGTCTACATCGACCAGGTCAAATCCTCGTTGACAGACCGTATTGACATATCAGGTCAGAACTCTTGGGTTGGAAAAGGTGGAGCCTTCACTGGTGAAATTAGGTTACGATTCCTCTTATTCACTTATACTATATCTCTTTTACTGTATATGATTGAAAAATTCGGCTAAAATGTTAAAGCTTTGCAACTAATCCCACCTTAGGACTTTACGGTATATATATATAAACATTGTCTGAATTACAATGTCACCCGTTTCACCATACAGCGTGGAACAGCTTAAAGATCTTGGCTGCAAGTGGGTCATTCTTGGGCATTCCGAACGGAGACATGTCATCGGAGAAAAAGATGAGGTCAGTAAAATAGAGTACTTTATAAGAACTAGTGAGTCATTAAGAAAGGATTGTGAAGACATGTTTGCTCTGTTCTCAACACAACCATAGTTTATCGGGAAGAAAGCAGCTTATGCATTGAGTGAGGGTCTCGGAGTGATAGCTTGTATTGGGGAAAAGCTAGAAGAGAGGGAAGCAGGAAGGACATTTGATGTTTGCTTCGCACAACTGAAGGCGTTTGGTGGTAACAACACTCTTGTATTTTCTTTTATTACCCTCTTCTGTTCCAAATCATGTCTGAATTCAATTATTAGCAGTAAGTTATTTGTATTTTCAGATGCTGTACCTAGCTGGGACAATATAGTTGTTGCATACGAGCCTGTATGGGCAATTGGAACTGGTAAAGTTGCATCTCCTCAGCAAGCACAAGAAGTCCATGTAGCTGTCCGCGGTTGGCTAAAAAAGAATGTCTCTGAGGAAGTCGCTTCCAAAACGAGGATCATATATGGAGGTGCGTTAGATTAGTTATCCACCGCAAAATGAAACTCTATGCTGATTATTTCCTACTCAATTGCCAGGGTCTGTCAATGGAGGCAACAGTGCAGAGCTTGCCAAAGAAGAAGACATTGATGGATTTCTTGTTGGCGGTGCCTCCTTGAAGGTAAAGTAAAGTTTAGACCTTTATGGATATGTTGTTGATGAATAGAAGTAAAGCTCACACCCACCTTTGCTGTGACTCTAGGGTCCTGAGTTTGCAACCATTGTGAACTCAGTCACGTCGAAGAAAGTTGCTGCTTGATTGAGAACTATCAGTAACGGAAATCGCTAGTCTCCATGGAACAGATGAGATCAGAAATAAAAGGGAGGTTAGCGACCTTGTTGTTGTTGTTGTGTTCTTACTTCTTCTTCGTGAACTAATAATGGAAAACAGAAAAAAATGATTCATGAGCTCTGGTTTGACAGGGAGAGATAAAAGGGTCTTTGATTAAAGATCTTTGTAACTAAGCTGTGATTCTCTTTTCACTTTGAGTAAGCTTAACTCAAGAGTTTCTTCTATATAGTACTAAATCAAGATTTAACCATGAAAAATTCATCTTCTCAAACATTCCACTCCAAACCTTGAGCCATAATGCATTCATCGCTCAGATAAGTCACAACTTTATTGTGAATCAGAACTCAGTGTAAATCGCAACACAGTCTCTCCTCCAACCGGATTGCTCCTTCCCTCAAGAACATATCCCAAAGAGTGGTTCTCTTGTACTTGGCTCCTTGAACATGCGCTTCAACTCAACTATTTGGAGTGTTTAGATGAATGTACTGCTTAAGAAGGTACTGATGTGTCATCCATGGACATGCCTTCATCTTTCATAGAGAAGATTAACAACACAAAACGGAAGATCTAAACCATTTATAAGTTAAGTGGTTTCATGAGGAGAATATTTATGACAAGAAGTAAAGATTGTCTAAAGAGTACAATGCTGGAACCAAAAAAAAAAGTGACGTTTAAAACCCTAAATTTCCTCAAGACTGAACTTAAACTTGGAAACTCTTTCAAAACGCCGAAGCTGAGTCTATAACAACTGGAAGGAGCAAAACATCTCTTTTAGTTCTTCTTGTTCTTCGATTTCCCAGACAATGTCTTGGCTAAAGTAGTCCCCTGAAGATATAATAACACACGGGTCAATCAAATTATTCAATCACAATGAAGAGGAAGAAGAGTAAAAAGAGAGAAGCGAACCTCGAGCCATTCATCGAGTGATGCATCGGTAGACCTGGTTCCTACTTCCACCTTGGAAACCTTTTTGGTTTTCTGGTAAAAGAGGAGCTTATCAAATGAATGTTTAACTGCACAAATGATGAACCGGAAAAAGAGATCCAATGGTTTACCTTGGTGAGACGCTGAACTTGGCTGTATGCCCATAGACCGAGGAGGAGGAGGAGACCGATTCCTAGTGTTATAAGGAAAACAGATTCGCCGCTGAGAAGACCTCCAGATTCAACTACCTCTATGGTTCCATTGTAGAAGACACTCTGGTATGGCTTTCCTTCCACGTCATAGATGATATAACCCACCAGATCAAATGCTCCAGGCTGTGCAACACCAAGCAAGATCAGATCTTTCGGGAGTTTTCTCAACTACAATTGTATTTTCAGAATGAAACAGAATGATATCTTGTCTATTGTGGGATATGCGTACCTGCAGGTACTGGCTGACTGCAAAGATGTACGGGAATGTTGCTTGAAGAGACGTTGGGATGGATGCATTGTTGAATCTCTGCAATATAGAAAGACAGCATGAGAAAATCATAACAAATATTTAGAAAAATGGTATCCTTGTCAAATGCTTACCAACATGGTTAGATTCTGAACCAACAACTTATGATCATAAGGAAGATGAACGCTGGCCCTAATTCCCATCACACCTACGCTAGTTTTCCCTGTTATGCCATAGCCAATTTGGAGATATTTAGATTTATCAACAAAACAGAAAACTCAACCCAAAGAGAGCTAAAACTAAAAGAGGTGTTTAGCTACCCTCATTTTTAAGACCAACAAGGAGCTCAGTCTCTTCTCCAGCTGGAACCACTGCAGGAAACAAAGAGCATTAAGAACAAAATCTTTAAGCTCACAACAAACAAGGGATAGATAAATACACGACGAAGGAGCAAAGACATACATTTGGCACTGTTTTTGGGGAAAACACAAACAGTCTCAACTCCTGGAAATGAGGACAAGTTCATATCCAAATCGTGGTCATCTTCCTCAACCGCATCATCACTGTTTTCTCCAACAACATCATCAACAAGACTGGAGTGATCCTCGGCATCCGATTGACATCTAGCAACTGATCAAAGAAACCAAAACAAAAAAAAAAAAACCCATCAGGTTAAAACCATAACGTCTTCTTCTGAAAAGGTTACAATGTGCAAATTATCCTCTATCAGCGAGTGCAGATTCCAGAAAGTAGGCAAAATAAAGACATGCACGAAGACACTATTGATTGAAGAATCTATTACTTGGGAATTCGATCTACATTTGAAAGTTTGTCTCTTTGAAACCACATTGCTCTACGATAATACACAAAACACAGTATTGTATAACGAGCTCAATTTCACTCGGATCGATGAATAAAGAGCGTAACGTTCTCCGGAAACAGGACCAGATCCTTTGAGAAACCAGATCGGAAACAGAGATCAAATGTGAAATTCAATTCGAAACAAAACGGATCTAGATCTACAAAATCCATGGAAAACAATAAGAGAAGAGAGAGCGACCTTGAAGCAGAGGAGATGCAAGGAGAAGGAGAGCGAGGAACAAAACCCTAAGATTCATCATCGCTTGCTTCTATCAAATACTAATGGTCAACGAATTTGCGAATGAATGAGAGAACAGTGTCTCTCTCTCTCGATGCTATTTATGCTTTTGCTCTTTCTCTAAATAAAATTTATTTCTGCAAAAAAAAAACACGAATGCAACACAACCATAGAAACTCGAAAACGACAGCGTTTTGTCTGGTCTCTCAATTTATTTCATGTGATTTTGTTACCTTATCAGGATTCACAAATTAGTTTCTACAACATTCTTAATTTGTATGTTCTCATTATATAATCAGAAGATCTCACACCAAATTTTCATATGACATGAAAAATCACAAAATTTCTATGATTTTAAGAAAAAGAAAAGAAAAAAAAACGAGTGTACTACTAAATGGTACATGATTAAGGGAAGAAGAATAAATATTAAAAAATGAATGCCATGAACATTCCACTACTATTACACCAAATCTGATCAATCATGTCAACAAAGCGATCCATCAAAAGCATCTTCTGCTCCAATATCAATCTCCATGGACAGTGTACCGTTCCCATTTCTTTGTCGGGTCGTATATCTGTACAGATATAATGCAAAAAGATTAGATTCAAAGTCTAGCTGAGAATGAAAAGTGCAGAGAAAAAGGCGATTTGGGAGTTACCTCCCATCTGGAAGCAGGGAATATATGCTTGTTCTTCTCGTACCAATGCCTCTCCACTACTTTACCCGCATGCGACTTCAATAACACCACATTTTACAAAGAAGCTTTAGAAACAACTTCTCATCGTCAAGACCTACTCTCTTTTCTCATGTAACTGGGTCAGGGAAACATACCTCGTCTTTCTCTATCGTTGCATCTGCTATTGTTCTCACGTCTTCATGCACATCAAAGTGAAACAGCTGTTAACAAGAACAGTGTAGGAGGAATGAGTCTCAGTTACGATTTCTATATTAACTGAATTCCAAAAAATGTCGACAAGGCATACCGGCCCACTCTTCCCCCTAGCTTTGTTAATGATCAGCTCATAGAAACTGTGTTGCTACATTTGCAAAAAAAAAATATCCCATGTTATCGTTAAGTTCCATATTGTGAAGGGAGGATATCTTGGTAAGTTTAGAGGGTTCTCACATGTGGGATAATAAGATCTTCCTTCACATATAACAAATTCTCAACTGATGCCGTCCGAATCTCCCGGAAGTCAGGGGCAAGCTGCTGCTGAACAGCCCGTAGAAAATTCCCAATTGGGTCACCCTTGCGGACCTGTAAAATGGGTATATCATCAAGGTAAGTGAATGATCAGACGTAAGGCTCGAGCAGTATGACAAAGATGTAGTTTGTGCTTGCCTGGATAACTCGTCTATGGCCAGTCCCATCCCAGTAACTGTAAGTAATCTCAAGAGGCTCGTCTGAAAAAAAAAAATATATCGTTAGACAATCTTCCTTAATTGAAGTGTTACAACTGAAAATTTAGAAGTAACAGGAAAATGGACAACTTTTAATCTGCTCTTGTTCACGAAGCCACTGCTTTTTAAGCCTTTCACGTTCAGCTTGTTCTTCAGCCTCCCGCTCACTGAAACAGCAACCTCAAAACACCACAGCTAAAGTTGAGACTTACTGCAAAAGCATACAGGGAAGATAAAGGTAAACAAGAGAGCTAGGGATCACCTGTCAGGCAGGAAATTAGTTTCCACTGAGGGGTCCTTGCCAAGTTTTCCGCAGCGTAAGTTCACTGTCCCAGAACTCTCTGCATATATAGAGTACATGGTAGAAGTTACAAAGAGGACAACATTAGATGAGATATGAAATTCCTATGCCAGTAAGCTATGTGCATTTCAAACGCTGCAACAACTAAGAAAGACTCCAATCTACAATGGTCGAATTAATGTCTCCAATACATGATGAGATTCATTATTTCTGCAAAAGATAGAGAGCTCATACTTTTTCAACTTCCACACAAAAAAAAAAAGTCTTCATTATTTCTGCAAAAGATAGAGATTATATTTTTCAACATCTACTCAAAAAGGAAACAAGTTATAGTGGTTTAATTGAATGAAAGCATGCATCACACCTATTCCTAACTATACCACAATTCACCATTGATGTAACAACAGCATATTTAGGAATCAGGGTAAAACTTAAGATATCTAACAAGTATGGTCTGAGATAAACTAAGTGTGATGTACGAGACTGATAAATCAATCCACTTACTGTTTTCTCCATCATCTTCATCACTGCCATTCTCAAAATCTTCAGCAAAAGATAGGCGGGAAGATCCCTTAATCTTTCTCTTCTTGTTACGCTTCTCTAGCTGCAACTCCTCTTCCCTGTAGTTTAGAAACAAAGTCAATAAAGCTTAATCCAAAAAATAACATCAATCAATAACTATAAAGAATGAACTTAAAGACAAAACGCACTCTTGCTGTAGCTTCTGCAGTTTCTCCTTCTCTTCTTCCTCGAACTTATTACGAATATTAACCCTCTACATATATCACAGACAAAATTAAACACCCACAATCTAGATGACTGTAAGAAATTGAAGGATAAAGTGGCCATGACTCCAATTACCTTCTCCACATACTCCTCTCTTGTAACTAAACCCACTGTTTCCTTCTTGAAAGCAGTGTCAAGAATCTAACCAAATAAAAAAAAAAACAACCAAATAAATTAGTCACAGCCCAAATTTGTGATTCGTCAACACTTGAGAAACCAAAACTCAAGCAATGATGATCTAATCTTGTTCTCTGATACTTGTAGTAAAGAACTAATCGTTGTAATCATACTAAACCCTAAATATTGCGGAACAAGTTCTAAATCTAGTTCCTACAACAATCCACCATCAGAGGTATCTGTATATATGATTGGGTCGAACCTCGCAAGAGCTGGTGCCGAATTGGAGAAGACCAGATTGGTCTTTGCCGGAAGCAGACTTGCTCTTGAGGTCTTGGATTTTTTTGCGCTCGGCCTCTCTTTGCTTCTGAAGCCGCCGTATCCTCACCGCATCTTGAGCCGTACCAACGTAGCCGTCACCCATACCCGACATATTTTCTTTCTCCGGCTTCCTTTGGCTCAAAATCGGAATCGGAATTTCACAAGATTCTTCCGACCGCCATTGTTGACTGTTGAGAGAGATAGAGAGCTCTTTTATGCAAGCAAAGCAATATACGCTGTGTTTCGTTTTGGGCTTTTTATGTTTTCTTATGGGCCTTTAAATAATATTATTGGCCCAGATATTGGGCTTATCTCAAACACAATCTACTTTTAGGTTGATTTTACCCAATCAATTGATTATTTCTATTGAACAATCTTTTCACCACCAAATTGTACAAAAGTTTGACTAATGGTGTCACAATCTCCTTATTAATGTCACTACTAAGCATTATTAATGCAAACTTGTAAAAATAACCTATTTATTAGAGATATCTAATGAATGATTGTTGTCCCCTAAAAAGTAATGAACAATACATGGAACTCATGATAACATATAGGACGATTAGACACACCATCTACAAAATCATGCTATTTATTAAATGTTTTTGTTTATTCATATTTTTTGTTTAAATTATTTAATCATATATAGATCTTATTACTTAGTTTTATAAATGCGATCAGTGCATATGAACAGTCGAAAGAATCTGTTCCTTAATTCTAAGTAACTCTACATAAACTATAGTCGCTCGTTTTGTTGAAGCTAAGGATCGTCGGGAAACATTTACAAAATATATATAAGGTTTGGTTACATATATTTTAGTTATATACTAGTTAGAAACAAACCGGATCGATATGATACGATTCTCGGATTTGATCACACAATATAGAAGCTGATGATCATTTAGATTTAGAATGGTTACAACATAACGTAAATAGTGTCAAATATATATAATTCATATTTGTGTATATTCGATATATAAAGTAGTAGTTGAGAGAAGAATAACAGAGTGTACATGTTTGAGCTGGCCTTTTTCTGTTAACAGGAATTGTGGCTGAGGAGGGGCCTTGCCAGCTTCAAAAGACAATAACAATTGTAATGTCATAAATTAGTTAGTTCTATATTCTATCTTCTAACCAATAACCATATATTATTAATTTATCACAAATTTCCTCTCTAACCAATTGAACAACATATGTAAGCTTTTAAAACTATATATGTTTTTTTTGTGGCATAAATGTTGTTACCTTTGTTACTTAGATCATGCGCCTTGCATGCATGCCAACGCCGTACTTTTAGCCATAGTGGTAAAAAACATGACTTTGTTAATTCAAGCATTTGAGATGTGGACGTATTACCAACTACGTTATTCTTATTTTCTATTACTATATATAGAACTTGTGATAAGGTAAACTTTATAATTTTGTGTCCTATATTAATGTTGTCGAATTTGATCACCGACTTTTTCGAAACATACCCACATCCCACAGTAGAGTTAACCATCACAGATTCACAGAATGTACGTGACTACTATAAAACTCAAAACTAATATAGATAATCAACAAATTATGGACCTAGCCAGTAGCTAGTGACTTGTATAAAACTCAAACTTAAGAGTTGCTTATTTAACCCAAAAAAAATGTACGTGACTAAAACTCAAAACTAATATATATATATATATATATATATATATATATATATGTATATGTTTTTCTTTTTCTTTTTTTGGATAATCAACAAATTATGGACGTAGCTAGTGAGTCATGTACTTCGTAGTATCATCGGGTTAAGATTATTGCCTTCTATAACATTTATAGTGCTCAAACTTAAAATTTACTTAAAATTTGGTTTATCATAAACGATATAAAATTGTCTTTATAAGATATCCACTGATCCACATATTTAGGTGACGATGATAAACGTGAACACACCCTATCGGTTTTTGGGGGCAAATAAACTAAAGTTTATCCTCTAAATGCTCTCATGTGAGGCGAATTAATTTGGGGTCGGTGGTGCGTAGACATACGATTTCATTTATTCATCTGCATATATACGTTTATATTTATGAATTTTTGTATTAACGTGTGTTTATTCCGGATCAATGTATTCCAAGTTCAACTGAAAAAAAATTTGACTCTAAAATTTAACATGTTTTAGTTACTTAAACAACACCGATGAAATTGAAATCTGAACCAAATTGGAAACATAAAATCCTGATCTAAAAAGTTCAATTTGTTTTTAAGATAAAAAATGTTTGAAACTCGAATTCAAACTAAAAACGAGATCATATTATCGTATTAAATTTATCCATATTAAATTCAGTTTATTTAGGTTCTCATTTTCGTGGCTATGGTACCACCAAGTATTTGAATAGTAACTTTTATAAACAAACACACTAAATTAATAAATGCCATGAATTAATAAAATAATATCCCTACGCGACCTATATATACACAATCGGCGATCTCAGTAGAAGAATCATATCTTCTTTCTCCTCTAATAGTTACATATAACAAGAGAATCTGATGAGGATATTACCAAAAAGCGGCGGAGGTGCTTTTGGCCTCCTCTTTGTGTTTGCTCTCTGCTCGGTGGCTCATTCCCTTAGCCGTGACGTCAAGGTCGTTGGGGATATCGAGGTCGTTGGCTACTCAGACATCAGCAAAATCAAGATCCCCAATGCATTCTCAGGTCTAGTATTATAAGGCATATTGCAATATATGCTTTATAATCTTATCCTCGGTCAAGTCCATATATATATGCATGTTGTTATACTAATGTTCCGGTCGATAAATGTCCCTTCTAGGTCCATTTATAATTTGATTGCATTATGCATGGACTATAAAAACAATCTTCTTCTTATAACTTTAATATAATTTCTTTTTGTTTAATTGCGACTTTTATTTGAAAATAGGACTCCGAGTAACGATAGAATGCAAGGCGGCCGATTCAAAAGGCCATTTTGTTACAAGAGGAAGCGGAGAAGTTGACGAAACAGGAAAGTTTCATCTCAATATTCCTCATGATATTGTCGGTGACGACGGAACTCTGAAAGAAGCCTGCTATGCTCAACTTCAAAGTGCCTCCGGCAACCCTTGTCCGGCCCACGACGGCCTCGAGGCCTCAAAGATCGTGTTTCTATCGAAATCCGGCGAAAACCAAGTTTTGGGTCTCAAACAAAGTCTTAAATTCTCACCGGAAGTTTGCATCTCAAAGTTCTTTTGGCATATGCCTAAGTTCCCTTTACCTCCTCCACTTAATCTCCCGCCATTAACGTTTCCTAAGATCAAGAAACCTTGTCCCCCAATTTACAAACCACCGGTGGTGATCCCCAAGAAGCCGTGTCCACCAAAGATTGCACATAAGCCCATCTACAAGCCTCCAGTGCCTATCTACAAGCCGCCGGTGCCTATCTACAAGCCACCAGTGGTGATCCCCAAGAAACCATGTCCACCAAAGATACACAAGCCCATCTACAAGCCACATGTGCCTATCTACAAGCCCATCTACAAGCCTCCAGTGGTGATCCCAAAGAAGCCATGTCCACCACTTCACAAGCCGATCTACAAGCCCCCGATGCCTATCTACAAGCCGCCGGTACCTATTTACAAACCGATCATCAAGCCGCCGGTGGTGGTGATTCCAAAGAAGCCATGTCCACCACTTCCCAAGTTTCCACATTTCCCACCAAAATACATTCCACACCCTAAGTTCGGAAAATGGCCTCCTTTCCCTTCTCATCCTTGATGGAGATACATAATCATCTGTCTTTCTTAATCTAAGAAAAATGATCGAGTGATGCCACAGAAGAATATTCCTTTGTTGCTTTGTTGAATTCTATGTAGATGTTTCATCATTATGTATCGTAAATTCAAGCCAATAATATTTGTATTTTTTCGTTAAATAGATCTGTAATCTCATTTTCTGTTGATGATCTTTTTAAAAAATTAGCATGAAAAGTATCAATTCCTCTCCTTTTTTTTTTTACTCTTTTTCAAACATATCGGGACTGATTGGTAAACAAAAGCTGTACAAATTTTTTTGGTTTTAGCTGGAGCTGTAAGATTTTATCGGAATAGTGCAAAACTGTATGAAAGAGTTGTACAAGAAAGCTGTACAAAAAAGCTGAGAGTAAAACTGTTTGTAACAATTTTGATAAAGTTTTTGTGATTAGTAACTGTCAAAGCTGTATGCTTTGTATAGCTTTGTAACGCTGTTACCAATCAAACCCCGTGTTTAAAAAATCGCTAGGCGCTAGTCGGGCGGTGAGGGTGCGCCTAGCGCCTAACAAGAAAATCGGGGATTACACGGGGATTAATCGGGGATTAGTTTTAGGGCTATTTAATGTTTTAAAAACATATTAATCCATTATAATTAAGAAATTTATATAATATTGTTTTAAAAATTGTATTAAACACATGAAAACAAGATTTTAATTTCAAATTTATGATTTTTATACAAATTACGAACATAAGTAGGACGTTTTGAATTTTAGATTAAAAAAAAAAAAAAAAAAAAAAATGGGCTAGGCGCCATCTAGGCGGGCTAGGCGGCCGCCTAGGCGGTCTAGGCGGACGAAAAATCGGATCTCCGATTTTTCTCACCGATTTGGACAAAATCGCCGCGGTGCTCCTCCGATCAGCGCCTATGCGACCGATTTTTAGAACAACAATCAAACCCATCAATTCCTTTGAAATATTTTATGGGTAGGCCCGTTTCAAAGGGTAGGATAAAAAGACTACAAGCCCAAGAGGTCCAATAATAATTTAATAAGAAAAGTCCATCAAAAAAAAAAATTAACAAAAAAAAACTAGTTCAACATGTCAATTTCTTAAAATATTTTTTTGTTAAATATGTCCAAATATTTTGAACTTTTATATATTTTTCACAAATAAGAAGTCCAATCATTTCTTTAAAAATGACCTCGTGAGGCGGAGCTGTAGCCGGGATATTGTAGTTCGTGCTAGAATCAAGGTTGATTACTCAATTTCAATCCAGATATTGTTTGTGTAGAATTGGTAAAAGGACATTAGTAGTATAACGATTAGCAAACCGCCATGCATCCAGCCTGATTTGTTTTTTTTTTTTTGCAGTGGAAGTCGCCTTGCGGTTAGGAAGGTGCCATAGTGGTGCCGTGCGTGGAAGGAAGGCGGAGATCTCGAGAGAGGTCGACTTCCTTTTTCTATTGGATCGAAGGCTGGTTGATTCTGGTGCCTGGAAGTGGCCGTCGACTTGAGCTTTTGCCCGACAACTTCGTTGGGAGTTAGGACTAGATTTTATTCTTGTCAAAACAAGTATTTATCCAATCTCAATTTCTATAATCCACCCCTTTATTCCCGATTTAGGTTTTACTAATAATATATATATATATATATATATTGTTTTTGAAAAATGATTTGAGAGTAATTGGCTTCAATTAGGTTTAATATCCTAAAACAACTTTCATAACAATAGTGTTGGTTTGTGCTAGTACCTAAATTATATATATATACAATACTAATTTTCCGTTTTTATTGATAATTTCTATTTTAATTTATTGCTTTGATGCGTTATTTATCTTTTTTTTATTGTTATCATATATTCAAACTTAAAATACATAAGGTATTCATTTTTAGTGACGATTTTCGATTTTTATTTATTATTTACATTATTTCTTTATCAGTATATATTAAAAATTAAAAATGAACAATGTAACCGTTCCTTTTTATTTGTCGTTTTCAACAAAACATTTCCGTTTTTCTTGAAAGCTTCCCTTTTTACTTGTCGTTTCAACATAATATTTTTTCTTGAAAATTTCCCTTTTTATTTGTCGTTTTCGTCATAATATTTCCGTTTCGATACCATATTTCTGTTTTATCGAAAATTTTATTTTTTTACTTGTCGTTTTCGACATAAGATTTCTGTTTCGATACCAAATTTCCGTTTTTTTAATCAATGTATCATGTATGTAAAACCAAGAATACACAAATTTCCGTTTTTTAATAATATTTCCATTTTATAAAAAAAATTCATTGAAATGGAAGTAAATGAAAAAGTAAATACGGGTTGCAACATTAAAGAGTAACAACACGTGTCGATTTCGGGATGGACAATTCGAGAGCATTTACCGTGGTCAAAAACTCAACCTAACCACGGTTAAGATTTATTCAAGAAACAATGGAGATCTCGACACGTGTCTCAATCTAAAATACCCAATGATATTATCTCACAGATATTCCCTTCCTCTATAAATATCTCCTCTTCGTCCTCAACAGCTTCTCCAGAAAATCTAGGTCACACACTTTTTTTTTATTCCTCCTCCCAAAATCGAACAACAATGGCGACGCATCCCAAAGTTTTCTTCGACATGACCATCGGCGGTGCACCGGCGGGGAAGATCGTGATGGAGCTTTACACCGACAAGACACCAAAGACGGCGGAGAATTTCAGAGCTCTATGCACCGGAGAGAAAGGCGTTGGACGTAGCGGGAAGCCACTTCACTTCAAAGGATCTGCGTTTCACCGTGTGATCCCTAATTTCATGTGTCAAGGAGGAGATTTCACCAATGGAAACGGAACTGGTGGTGAATCGATCTACGGATCCAAGTTTGAGGATGAGAATTTCGAGAGGAAGCACACAGGACCTGGGATATTGTCGATGGCTAACGCTGGTGCTAACACTAATGGATCTCAGTTTTTCATCTGTACGGTGAAGACTGATTGGCTCGATGGTAAGCATGTGGTGTTTGGTCAGGTGATTGAAGGCTTGGACGTTGTTAAGGCTATTGAGAAGAGTGGATCTTCGGCTGGGAAGCCGACGAAGCCTGTTGTCATTGCTGATTGTGGTGAGATCTCTTCTTAGATTCCGGTGATGGATCTAGGGTTTGTAGAAGTTTCTTCTTAGCTATTATGGACTCTCTGTGATGTTTGCTCTGTTTCTGCTTTTGGGTATTTTCCTAATTAAGCACCATTAATAATAAGTTTTTTAAGGAATTGTGGCATTTTTTTGTGACTCTTGCCGTTTAAAGACTTTTGGCGTTTTGTCCAATAAAAACAAAATCGTAAATGGATAATTTCCAAAATTAGAAAAAAACAATAGGTAAATGAGACAAAGTAATGAGATTCAAATTGTTAATTACATTGTGCAATACTACGACTGGGCCTTTCGTAATAGGCCCAGCAAAAATTTGAGCTTGTTTGTCCTTAATGGGCCTAACGTATTAACATATACGTGTAAAGTTGTTATGGGCTTCATTCGTGATTTTGTACTCTTGACTAATTTTTGTGTACTATCAAAAATTCAAAACAATTAAATAGGTAGTGGACGAATAAGAAATGTCTTATTGTTATAAAAGTCGTGAAAAGGAGGAATGGTAAAGTCGCAAAAAAGATGCGTACATGGATTAAACGTTTCGTTGTTTATTAATTTAGGTGGAGCCTACCGTCACTATACACGCATAGTAATTTACTTTTTTTACGCCTATATAAACGAACGAATTCGTTCGATGTAAAATCACAATTCATTACTTCAATTACAAGAGAAGTAATAATCTCTCTCCCTCTCATCTCTTTATTTTCAGTATCTCGATCCTTCTGCGGATATAAATTCTTTCTCCATTATTTATATTTATATACACCATAAAATAAAGTAATTATGTATAACACGTTATCAGCAAGATCACTCTATGTTCGCTGAAAAAAAAAATACGGTATTATATCGGGTGGTATGTCGCCTCGTTAAAAAGAAAAAAAAATATGAGTAAAAGAAAAAGAAAAGAAAAGAAAAGAAAAAGAAAAGAAAAGAAAAGAAAAAAGAATAAAAATATTTATATAGATATATGTATATGTATATGTATATTATTTTCTAGTGGCTGTTCGGACACCGTTATTTACTCGTTACTATAGTGGGAGGAATGTCGCCCCTATAAGTAATCGTTATAATGACTGTTTTATACACCATAGCAATGGACGGCTAAGCCGCCTATAACGTGGATGACTCTGTCACCACAATATTGCCGTTAAAATTTATTTCTGTTATACTTATATTTTGGTTAATATATAAGGAGGATCGGCCACCTGTATAAAAACCTATTATCTGAATTTGGTAAATTTAACTGATTGGCTATTAAAATTTACACATTGATTTTCTCTTTAATTCTTTTCACCAACGGTCATGAAGAAAATTTTTTAAAAATTTTATCACTTTTCAAACGGCTATGAACAGTAATTTTCAATCTATAAATACACTCATTTTCACTCATTCATTCACTCAAAAATTATATCTCTCCTCATATATTTTTCTAAGAAATTTGTTTAAGTTTTCATTTTGGAAAATGACTCATCCGTTTTTAGTCTTTGTAATAGGCTTTATAATTATTGCAATTTACGGTTTACTCTTTGGAGAATTTTCTCCCGAAGAAATTTTGATGGTTATTATTTTACTTTTTTATGTAATTGTATTTCTTGTAATCGCATTACTTATATAAGCACATCCCATGCTCTAAAATGAAATAAATTAAATTTCTAATAAAGTTCTTTGTGATTTTATTTTAGATAACAAATGGCAAACATTGAGAAGCATAAATTTCCGGCTCTCAAGATTACTGGCGCAAACTACATAGCATGGACCACTGATGTGGAACTATATTTTGAGTCGCAAGAATTATCCGAGACCTTAAAATCGGAAAATTTATCGCCTCTAAAAGATAAGGCAAAAGCGATAATATTCTTGAGAAAGCATCTCGATGAAAATGTGACGCATGACTATGCTCACACAAAAGACCCAGCAGAGCTGTGGCAAGCTTTAAAAGCACGGTTTGACAACCAGAGAGAAATAACTCTCTCTCATGCGTTAGAGAACTGGAAAAACTTGAGGTTCCAGGACTTTGAGAAAGTAGAGGAATATAATTCCGCTATGCTGAGGATAGTATCACAATTAAAGTATTGTGGTAAGCCTATTACTGAAGCTGAAATGCTCGAGAAGACTTACCTTACTTTTCATAAAGAACACTGTGTCCTGCAAGAGATGTATAGAAATTGCGGATACAAAAGGTTCTCTGAGTTAATTGTGACTCTCATACTGGCGGAGAAGAATAATGAACTTCTTCTTAAGAACCACAACTCTTGGCCTACGGGGGCCAAAGCATTTCATGAGGTCAATGCAACAGATGAAAAAAATCCGGAGAGAGGAAGTCAAACCTATCGCGGTCGTGGCCGTCGATTCAATCGTGGACGTGGAAGATCCTTTAACCCACAAAGCAGAAAGTCTTATACATGGGTTCGACCTGATCAAAGTTCAAAAGGAAAAGAATCCCAAGGATGTAACGCTCAAAAGCGTGAAAGCATCTGTTACAGATGTGGATCAAAAGGGCATTGGGCTCATGTATGTCGAACCCCTGAACATCTTTGTAAGTTGTACAAAGAGTCCCAAAAGGGAAAAGGGAAGGAAGTAAATCTTACTGAGCACTTTGAGGGTACATCGTACCTCGAAACTTTATAAACGATGTCGACGAGACCGCTCATGCGGATAACTGAAATGCTTGTAGTGAGACTACTAGTCTCCAGTAATGCTATTGTATAATTATTATGTATTTCAGTTGTTCTAAAATAATGTTGTTTCTGAAAAATGAACTGATGTATAATTATTATATGTTTTCAACATCAATAATATTTACTTATATTTTTATGTTAATTACAGAAATGGATCAAGATTCAAACAAAACGATAGCAAGGGAAAATATCAAAGAAATTTGTATACCAGATAGTGGAACAACGCACACTATTCTGAGACATCAGAGATTTTTCTCTCAATTAAAACCGACAAAAATTATTGTCAATACAATATCGGGTCCTACGGATTTGATTGAAGGAAGTGGCAAAGCAAATTTTAAATTGCCTAATGGAACAAAGTTTTCCATAAATAATGCCTTATATTCTCCGAAGGATATGAAACTCAGTCTGCAACGGAGGATAGAAAGAAGTATATGTATATAACTTCTAATAAATCTGGAAAAAGACATGTCTTGGAAAGATTTCCAGAACTTCCTTCTGGTTTGCATCATACCTATATCGATGCCATAGAGTCAAACCTTGTGATCAAAAGAAATCCAGAAGATTTCGTACTATGGCATGATCGCCTTGGTCACCCAGGCACCACAATGATTTGAAAAATCATCATAGAGAGCTCACATGGTCACTCATTGAAAAATCATGAGTTGAAACATGGAAATAAAATGACATGTGCAGCGTGTTCTCTTGGAAAGTTGATCATAAGGCCATCGCCAACCAAAATTGATAAAGAATCACCAAAGTTCCTTGAACGAATTCAAGGCGATATTTGTGGACCGATACATCTACCATGTGGACCATTCCACTATTTTATGGTAATGATTGACGCATCTAGCAGATGGTCACATGTTTGTCTATTGTCATCTCGAAATTTGGCATTTGCGAGATTTATAACTCAGATAATCAAATTAAGAGCTCAGTTCTCTGATTACTCCATTAAGAGGGTTAGACTAGACAACGCTGGTGAATTCACATCCCAAGCATTCAATGATTATTGTATGGTAACAGGAATTGAAGTTGAACATCCTGTAGCTCATGCTCATACACAAAATGGCTTGGCGGAATCATTAATTAAACGTCTGCAATTGATTGCAAGACCATTGATCATGAGATCAAAACTTCCAACCTCTGTATGGGGACATGCCATTTTGCATGTAGAAGTGTTAGAGTATATATCAAAAATGTAAACATTCCTTTTACATTTACCCTAGATACGATCTCTTGTAACCTATATATACTCTTGATAATGTATAGCAAAGGGTACAAAGTTTACCTTATTACATTCCTTTTACATTTTTGATATATACTCTAACAAGAAGCACTTATTCAGATAAGACCAAGTGCATACCATAAATACTCCCCACTACCGTTAGCATTTGGTCGAGAACCAAATATATCTCATCTAAGAATTTTTGGTTGTGCGGTGTATGTGCCTGTAGCACCACCACAACGTACAAAGATGGAACCACAAAGAAGGTTGGGAATATATATTGGCTGTGATTCTCCATCAATTATAAGATACCTAGAACCGCAGACTGGTGATGTCTTTACGGCACGATTTGCCGATTGTCACTTTGATGAGAAAGTATTTCCGGTTCTAGGGGAGAAAATAAGCAAGTAGGAAAAGAAATCAAATGGTGTGTACCATCCCTGTTACACCTTGATCCTCCTACAAAACAGTCAGAAATAGAAGTTCGACGAATTGTGCATTTGCAAAGTATAGCAAATCAACTTCCCGATGCTTTTGCAGATACCAAAATGGTAACTAAATCATATATACCGGCTGCAAATGTACCTGCTCGAATTGAAATCCCACAAGAACGTGGAGGAGCAGATGATACATGTGAGTCTAAAACACGCTTGAAACGTGGTAGACCAGTTGGTGCTAAGGATAAAAATCCTAGAAAACGAAAGAAAGTTGAAAAGCATGATATTCCCAAAATAGCAGAAAGCATTTTGGAAGAAACGAATCATGAGTGTAATGACAATGATGAGCATCATGAGCCTAAAGGAAATCATGAGATTTCTATCAACTATATACATAATGGAAAGATCTGGGATCGAAATAAAATGGATGATGTTAATGACGTTTTCTCATACCTTTTGTCAAAGGAAATTGATGAGGAAAACGAGGATCCAGAACCAAAGTCTGTATATGAATGTCAAAAGAGACATGACTAGATAAAATGGAAAGATGCAATACAAGTCGAACTTGATTCGCTCAATAAGTGAAATGTATTCGGACCTATTGTAGTCACACCTGAAGATGTGAGACCGGTTGGATACAAATGGGTTTTCGTTAGAAAACGAAATGAGAAAAATGAAATTACGAGATACAAGGCTCGTCTCGTAGCTCAAGGATTTTCTCAAAGACCCAGGATTGACTATGAGGAAACATATTCCCCTGTTATGGATGCTATAACGTTTAGATTTCTGATGAGTCTAGCAGCTGGCGAAAATCTAGAGATGCGTCTCATGGATGTCGTTACAGCATATTTATATGGATCATTAGATACAGATATCTATATGAGAGTTTCCGATGGGTTTAATATGCCAAAAGCATTAAAATCTAAACCCAAAGAGTTGTGTGCAATAAAGTTGCAGAGATCATTATATTGGTTAAAGCAATCTGGACGAATGTGGTATAATCGTCTCAGTGAGCACTTAACGAAAGAAGGATATGTGAACGATCCTATATGCCCATGTGTTTTCATAAAGAAAACAAATTCCGGATTTGTGATAATCGCGGTATATGTTGATGATCTAAACATAATCGGGACTCAAGCTGAAATACAGAAAGTAACAAACTATTTAAAAGGGGAATTTGAGATGAAAGATCTCGGACAAACAAAATTTTGTCTTGGCCTACAAATTGAACATACTCAAAAGGGTATATTTGTACATCAATCCACATACACCAAAAGAGTGTTAAAACGTTTTAATATGGATAAGGCAACTCCTCTCAGTACTCCAATGGTCGTTAGATCACTTAATGTTGAGAGTGATCCATTTAGACCACCTGAGGAGAATGAAGAGATACTCGGTCCTGAAGTACCGTATCTAAGTGCAATTGGAGCCCTTATGTATCTTGCAAATTGCACCCGACATGATATATCATTTTCAGTCAATCTTCTGGCTAGATTTAGTTCATCTCCTACACGAAGACATTGGAATGGGATTAACCATGTCTTTCGTTATCTTCAAGGGACTATTGATTTAGGGTTATTTTATCCTAAAAATATAAATGGTCAAATGATTGGTTTTGCAGATGCAGGATATTTATCAGATCCACACAAAGCTCGATCCCAAACAGGATACGTATTCACGATTGGAGGTACTGCTATATCATGGCGTTCTCAGAAGCAGACGCTTGTAGCTACTTCTTCAAATCATGCTGAAATCATCGCACTCCATGAAGCGAGTAGAGAATGCGTGTGGCTACGATCAATAAGTTGACACATTCAAACGAGTAGTGGAATTCGTCTGAATACGGAGCCAACTATCTTGTATGAAGACAATGCTGCATGTGTTGCTCAGACAAAGGAAGGATATATCAAATGCGATAGAACCAAACATATCCCTCCAAAGTTCTTTTCATACACCCAAGAGCTCGTGAAGAATAAAGACATTGAAGTAAGATATGTCCGATCATCCGAGAATTCTGCGGATCTCTTCACAAAATCATTGCCCACCTCTATGAAACATGTTTATAACATTGGAATGCGTCGTCAACAAGACTTGTAAGTTATGATCCTGATCATTCGAGGGGGAGCTTGCGCGGTTGCACTCTTTTTACCTACTATGGTTTTTCCCACCAGATTTTCCTAGAAAGGTTTTTAACGAGGCAACAGAAGACATTACGCAAGAGACATAGTGACACTGGTCTCCAAGGGGGAGTGTTATAAAAGTCGTGAAAAGGAGGAATCGTAAAGTCGCAAAAAGATGCGCACATGGGTTAAACGTTTCGTTGTTTATTAATTTATGTGGAGCCCACCGTCACTATGCATGCATAGTAATTTACTTTTTTACGCCTATATAAACGAACGAATTCGTTCGATGTAAAATCACAATTCATTACTTCAATTACAAGAGAAGTAATAATCTCTCTCCCTCTCATCTCTTTATTTTCAGTATCCCGATCCTTTTGCGAGTATAAATTCTTTCTCCTTTATTTATATTTATATACACCATAAAATAAAATAATTATTTATAACACTTATAAGTTTTCTTTTTGAATCTTATAAGGGTCAGGACTGGTTTAATAAAAAAATGGTGGTCGACTATGTACAACAAAATCATAGTTTATCAAATTTGACTTAAAAAAATTTAGTAACATGATGATAAATAAATTAATTAGCAAAGTTCCGCGTAATGCCGCAGCTAATAAGATAGATACGCAGCATGTGTTGATTTTGAATGATAAATATATGTGTTTTGACAAGTTTATAATAAATTTTAATAAGCTAAAGTGAAATAATTAGGTGAGAAATGGTTACCAAATGAAATCAACTACAAGTCTTTCTACGAATGTGTGTGATTGAAAAATTCCTAAAATAAAAAATTTGAGCCGACGCCGATAGTGAATGAGAGCACAACTCTTCTCTCTTTTTTTTGTAAGTATTATTGAACCAAAACGCGTACCGGAACCGGTTAAGCATCGGCAAGACCCACGAATTTTCCTGAGCTGTCGTCTTGCCAGAGGCACAAAGTCGAGGAGAGAGAGCTCGTGGAACCAGATCTCTCTCTCTCTCTCTCTTCTCTCATTTTGATTTTTGAATTTTCAGCAATCGCAGAAGTCGTCGGCCGCGTTGCATCGGACCACTTGCCCGATTCTCTTTCGTCACCATCCAGCAACAACCCTTGTTTCAAATTTCTTAATTTCCGCCGGATTTATAATCGCAGATTGATTCTGATCGGAGACATCCCCGAGAGATAGGGTTATCAAAAGGAGAGACCTTTTTGTTGTGACCGAGATTGACTTCAATTGTCTTCCGATTCGATAGATTTTAGGGATAATGGAGTCGGACAATGGGAAGGGGTTGATACTAGCTGTAGCGTCAAGTGTTTTCATTGGTTCCAGCTTCATTCTTAAGAAGAAAGGTCTCAAACGAGCTGGTGCTATTGGTACCCGTGCAGGTTCTCTCTTCTTCTTGTAATTGAATCGATTTTTGAATTGTTAACAAGCTTTTTATAATCTTCTTGTTCCATTTACAGTTTCTCTTATTCACAAATGTAACGTCTCTTCACTCAAACTAGCTTTAATGGATTCAATAACAGTTACTAATAGCTTTGTTTTATCTGAAACTTGTTCCCTATCAAAATGATATAATCTCATAATGGAATTGGTTTTCTCTCACTGGATGATACAGGATATGGAGGTTATACTTACTTATTAGAGCCGCTTTGGTGGGCAGGGATGGTTACCAGTGAGTGTCTTTCATATCTTATTACTTTTCTTCCATAGTCCCAATTCTAAACAACATTTTTCTCTAACTTCTAATGTTCTTGTTTAGTGATTGTTGGAGAAGCTGCAAACTTTGTGGCTTACATTTATGCTCCCGCTGTACTCGTTACTCCTCTCGGTGCACTAAGTATAATTATCAGGTATCTATGTCATCACATTGCTCTGTTATGTGTTTGTCACTTGTGTGATATTCTCTCACTAACCTCTCGTTTTTCACTCGTTTGCTAGTGCTGTTTTGGCACATTTTCTATTGAAGGAAAAACTTAAGAAAATGGGGGTTCTCGGATGTGTGTCTTGCATCGTTGGGTCTGTTGTTATTGTCATACACGCTCCTAAGGAGCAGACTCCTAATTCCGTTGAAGAAATATGGAATCTGGCTACTCAGCCAGGTACCTCTCTCTTTCTTACTCGGCACACATTTTATGCCTTATGTACACTTGTTTATCTGACAAGCTCAATTTTCCTTTTCTTATCCATGAAACAGCTTTTCTAATCTACGTAGCCATAACCATGTCGATTGTCCTTGCTTTAATTCTGCACTTTGAACCCCTGTGCGGCCAAACAAACATTCTGGTTTATATCGGAATCTGTTCGTTAATGGGTGCTCTCACTGTAAGTTGGTTCATCTGAGCATACTCGAGCCTTAATTCCTTTTTCTAGTGCACTTATAACTCTTATAATATCTTGTTCTTGGTTCTTTAAACAGGTTATGAGCATAAAGGCTATTGGAATTGCGATAAAATTAACAATGGAGGGAGTAAGCCAGATCGGGTATCCACAGACATGGCTTTTTGTCATGGTTGCGGTAACCTGTGTCGTTACACAATTGATTTACCTAAACAAGGTAAGCTCTCAACACCAAAATTGTTTGGAAAGCAAGTGAAAGTAGAACAGTTATATCGTTTAATGCCTGCAAACAAATATCCATCAGTAGATCATTCCTCAACTTGACCTAGGGACAGAATCGCTGCATCTATAGCATTGAAGGTCTTTTTTTTCCCAGCAAACTTAAGAACTCTAGAATGTCACTTGGCATTGTTGATACATTTTGTGTTTCTATGTGGCATACTATTCCCGTCTCTACTTAAGGCTTAAGATTGTTACTGTTATGAATTTTTTTTGCAGGCTTTGGACACATTCAACGCAGCCATTGTTTCTCCAGTATACTATGTAATGTTCACAACCCTCACAATAGTTGCTAGTGCAATAATGTTCAAGGTAGGTTCAACTAGATAACGTTTAGATCCCAAAAGGTTAGTTAAAGGAAGCACTTAACATCGGAACTCTGTTTTCACAGGACTGGTCTGGGCAAGACGCAGCCAGCGTAGCCTCTGAGTTATGTGGATTCATCACTGTGCTCACAGGCACAATGATACTCCATGGCACAAGAGAAGAGGAACAACAACAAGCTTCTTCAGGTAAAAGAAAACTCTTGCATTCTCCATCATCGATCATATCTGTTTCTTCTTGTGATGCCGTTATTAAAGCATAATGCTGGTCTGATCTTTGGGTACTCAGAACAAGTAAGATGGTACGACTCGAGAAAGAGCATGAACGAAGAACATCTGATAAGTCTGTACAGTCCTGAATACTAGGAAGAACATCTCTCTAGACTCCTAATAGATTGAATGAATATTTGCCAAGAACAAGCCTCAGGGATCTTAAAACTGGATCAATCAACAAATCTGAGGGGGATGATATCGGTCGAGTTCGTTTTTGTATTGTTTGTGGTCTCTGTACAGACAAAAAAGCTTGTCTAGTTAAAAAACTTGACATTCTTTAGTTTTGATCTGTGTCTCTTCTTAGTACAGTTACAGGTGGTCTTCTTATCTGGACTTTTGTCCAAATTTACTGTTATATATTTATATATGTATCTTCATTCTTCTAGGATGAAATATTCCTTAATTGTATCTCAATTGAATGAAAAAAATAAGTTAAAAGTTTGATTAGAATTGAAAGAGTTAACAATAATCTATTACCTCAATGCATTTTGTAAATTTCATATTTCTTGATACTATTAAGTTTGATATTTTTAAATTCTCATACAAAATAGATATAAAAAAATAGAACAAAAAAATGCATTGTATGTTTCCAAATTTGTTTGATATTCATATTTCTTGTGATTTGGTGACTCAAAATAGATCATTCATAACTCTCCTAGTATTATTCTCTTTTTTCTTTTGGTCAACAAACTAATATTCATTATCGCAAAACATAATTAATTGAACAATATTTTCCTTCAAATTATAATCATTTGATTCTTTTCTTATTTAAAAGTTTATAAACTGCATGCATATGGGAAACAAATGAAAAATGGATTTGATTCCAGATCAGTCCAGAGAGCCTGACCTATTGAGTCAGTATCTTCCAATCAAATTGCAATTAATCTTTGGTGCTATTATATATTACACTACATATAAAACCTCTGACAAAAAACATTACATGTAAAAACAAAAAGGATTAATGGAGAAGAAAATAGGATTAGTAGGGTTTAGTCTTTATCTTTGCCTCACCTTTGCACTCGGCGAATACTATTCCAAAACTCGTCCATTCACACCGAAACAACAAGTGGTCACAAATCTCCATTTCTTCTTTCACGACACTCTCACCGCCCCAAACCCATCAGCCGTCCTCGTCGCCAAGCCTACTCTCACAGGAGGAGACAAGGACTCTTCTCCCTCACCGTTCGGCTCTCTTTTCGCTCTCGACGACCCTCTCACCATCAGACCGGACCCGAAATCCAAGAAGATCGGGAACGCTAGAGGGATGTATGTTTCCTCCGGAAAACATGTTCCCACATTGACCATGTACGTCGACTTCGGGTTCACCGCCGGCAAGTTCAACGGTAGTTCTATCGCCGTGTTTTCGAGGAATACGATAACGGAGAAAGAGAGGGAGGTTGCGGTTGTGGGAGGTCGAGGAAGGTTTAGGATGGCTAGAGGAGTGGGTCAACTCAATACATATTACGTTAACTTGACCAGTGGGGATGCTATCGTTGAGTATAATGTCACTCTCTATCATTATTAACATACAACATTATACATAAAGGACTTTCTAATTCCTAATGTAATCACTTCCCTATAATTTAATTTCATGATTTTTATATATTTAGTTGTTTTGGATTTCATGCCTTTTAAAATGTAAGAAAGAAAACCATTCCATGAAACAAAATTAGGCTATGAAATCTCTTTATATTTTTTTTTTTGTGCAAAAGAAATCTCTTTATATTAAAAGCATCTTCAACTCTTTTACATTTTGCATACATATTAACTCAGGCCGGTGCAACAAAAATAATAGCCCGAATCAAATTGTTTTGTAGCCCTCTTTCTATCTACTACTCAAAATCTTAAACAATATTAGTTTTAAAATTGTGTCAAATGTTTTATCAAACAATTTTTGTTGAAGATTTTTTTTTGTGATTCTTAATTAAGATATAGTATACCCATTATGATTTAAAAATATATTTTTTGCCCCTCAAAAACATAGAATAAATTGGTGGCCCAAAACGGTTGCTTAAATCGCTTATCCTCTTCCAATGTACACATTACACTAATTTTTTTTTTTTTTTTTTTTTTTTTTTGTAAACCGTACACATTACACTAATAACTTCCCTTTATAACCAAAGAATGCATTTGCCTACCAAGATCGAGCCTTTTTCAGAAGCAATCCCTTTAATAGCTTATTGAAACTACTATAGCCATCAACATTAGATCCAAATCTTCTCATACAGTAAACTACTGAAAATTTCAGTTTGACGGATCGGGAATATTATGGATTCACACATTTTGTTTAATCTCATACATGTAAACTACTAAAAACCACACAATTTAAAACAATAAATCTACATTTGACCAGAAGATCTCATCAGCACCATTACATAATTTACATAAGCCGAATTCGGAGTTATTAATTAGGTCCACCAATGCAAAAACATAGAGTTATCTGAATTAGCTAGTTCAAACAATGAAATTATTAGGTGAACCATTACGCTACCACAATGCTGACTTTAATTAGTCTCATTTTGTTTTCATACTTTTTCTTCTAATCAAAGATCATTTTTCAGTTTGGTTGAACTAACTTGGACTAAGAGTGAGTCACGTATATGTAAATTCCCTATAAGAAGAATTATATACCATTGCACCAGAAACTCATTTTACTTTCACAGTTACAAACACTTTGTTACATTTTAGACCCCATCAGAAAAAATGAAAATGGCAAAAGAGGAATATGTATCAAGAATGTTGGTTATGTTAATAATGATAATGCCACTGGCTGCTCGGGGATCGAGACTGTACAGTTGGGCTAATCGGCTTGAGGAAACAGGGAAGGAGAAGGTAACAAACCTTCAGTTCTATTTCCATGACACCTTGAGCGGCAAGAATCCGACTGCCGTTAAAGTGGCTCAGGGCACAGACACCGACAAATCTCCGACGTTGTTTGGCGCTGTGTTCATGGTCGACGACGCTCTAACGGAGACCGCTGATCCAAAATCCAAACTCGTGGGACGAGCGCAAGGCCTTTACGGTTCTTCATGTAAGTACGTACGTTGTATATTATTTCTTACAATAACCGGACCGGGAATATAAAACCGGTTTGGTACATATATCAATAATTAATAACCGGTTTTGATTGGGACACAGGTAAAGAAGAGGTAGGTTTGATAATGGCCATGAGCTTCTGTTTCGAGGACGGTCCTTACAAGGACAGCACCATAAGCATGATCGGGAAGAACTCCGCGATGAACCCAATCAGAGAAATGCCTATTGTTGGCGGCACGGGAATGTTCCGGATGGCTCGTGGCTACGCTATTGCCAAGACTAATTGGTTCGATCCCAAGACCGGTGATGCCATCGTTGGCTATAACGTTACCGTTGTGCACTAGAAAATTAAGGCTTTGTTTCACTTTCATATAATACGGCGACGTTTTTAGCCATGCATTACATGTAACATTTCTTCATATTATTCGGAGATTTTAAAAAAACCTATGGCAAAATCGTAAATACGTTTACGATAGAACAAGAAGGCCATGGGCTTTATAGGCCTAAGCCCAAAAGTGAAAAAGGATTTGTCTTTGTTAGTATGATCCAAACCATAACCAAAACCTAAACCAGATCCGGTTTCTAAACCCATCCGACGGCATATGATTTCTTACCGGCGAATCTCGCCGGCGCAAACCCTTTCTGAGTTGATTCCGCCGGGATCAGGAGAAATCAATCGCAAATCCTTAAAGTCGCCTCCCATGGTGGTTTCTCCCTCCAATGCCCATCAGTAACCCTAGGAAACGGCCAATCTGTGTCGCCCGATCGTTGCTCAGCAGACACGCAACCAAAGCAGAGCTCTCTCAGGCCGTATCTCGTCTCGAGTCCTTGACTCAACAAGGGATTCGATTACCCTTTGACCTCCTAGCTTCGCTGCTCCAACAGTGTGGAGATACCAAGTCTTTGAAACAAGGCAAATGGATTCATCGTCACTTGAAGATTACTGGATTCAAGAGACCCAACACGCTTTTGTCCAATCATTTAATCGGAATGTACATGAAATGTGGTAAACCTATTGATGCGTGTAAAGTGTTTGATCAAATGCATCTCAGGAACTTGTATTCTTGGAACAATATGGTCTCTGGTTTTGTCAAATCCGGGATGTTGGTGCGTGCACGAGTTGTGTTCGATAGTATGCCTGAGAGAGATGTTGTGTCTTGGAACACCATGGTTATTGGGTATGCTCAGGATGGGAATCTACACGAGGCGTTGTGGTTTTTTAAAGAGTTGAGGAGATCTGGAATCAAGTTTAACGAGTTCAGCTTCGCCGGGCTTTTGACGGCATGTGTGAAATCTAGGCAGCTCCAGCTCAATCAACAAGCTCACGGGCAGGTTTTGGTTGCTGGGTTTTTGTCAAATGTGGTGCTTTCGTGTTCTATCATCGATGCTTATGCGAAATGTGGTCAGATGGAGAGTGCTAAAAGATGTTTTGATGAGATGACAGTGAAGGATATTCATATTTGGACTACTCTGATCTCTGGGTATGCCAAACTTGGAGATATGGAAGCGGCTGACAAGTTATTTCGTGAGATGCCGGAGAAAAATCCAGTCTCTTGGACCGCATTAATTGCTGGATATGTTCGACAAGGCTCAGGGGATCTAGCGCTTGACTTGTTTAGAAAAATGATTGCTATGAGGGTTAAACCAGAGCAGTTTACTTTCAGTAGCTGTCTATGTGCCTCTGCGAGCATTGCTTCTCTTAGACACGGGAAGCAAATTCATGGCTACATGATCCGTACCAATGTTAGACCGAATGCGATTGTCACCAGTTCTTTGATAGATATGTACTCCAAATCAGGTAGTTTAGAAGCTAGCGAGCGGGTGTTCAGAATTTGCTATGACAAGCAAGACTGCGTTTTGTGGAACACGATGATTTCTGCATTGGCACAGCACGGGCTTGGCCACAAGGCCTTGCAGATGCTTGATGACATGATCAAATTCAGAGTCCATCCAAACCGAACGACTCTGGTTGTGATTCTTAATGCCTGCAGTCATTCAGGTCTAGTAGAGGAAGGAGTGAGGTGGTTTGAGTCAATGACTGTTCAGCACGGGATTGTTCCCGACCAAGAGCATTACGCATGTCTGATAGATCTCCTAGGCCGCGCCGGTTGTTTCAAAGAACTGATGAGCAAGATCGAGGAAATGCCTTTCGAACCCGACAAGCATATCTGGAACGCAATCCTAGGAGTATGCAGAATCCATGGAAACGAAGAACTGGGAAAGAAAGCAGCGGAAGAGCTGATCAAACTGGACCCTGAGTCGTCTGCACCATACATATTGCTGTCAAGCATTTACGCAGATCATGGGAAGTGGGAATTAGTAGAGAAGCTGAGAGGGATTATGAAGAAGAGAAGAGTGAACAAAGAAAAAGCTGTTAGTTGGATTGAAATCGAGAACAAAGTCAAAGCTTTCACTGTCTCAGACGGGTCGCATGCTCATGCTCATGCTCGGAAAGAAGAGATCTACTTCATTCTGCATAATCTGGCCGCACTTATGGAAGAAGAAGCTTCAAGAACATGATCTCTCATACAAGAAAAGCATCATGGAACACCTGCAAATTTTCTTCCCAGGATTGTACACTGTTTAAGCCTGCAAAAGCAGGGATCTATACGTGTTGTGATGAATTTGATTTAGCTTTAGAAGTTTTGTCAGTGTAACAGAGCTAAACACTAGAGTCTTCAAATTCTTTGTTTTTTTCTTCCAGATTTTTTGGTTAATAAGAAGCAAAATTAAAATCAAAATTTTTCTGGTTTGTTTCGTATTGGCAAAGTTATTAGTTGTTAGAAAACGATGGTAGTGGCAAAGAAAGGGACAAGTACAAAAATAAAGAAAAAGCAATACAGTTGGAGCAACCAATATTTATGATGTTCATCAAACATTCAAACCCAACAATAACCCAGTTCTGTCTGTTAAACCAGTGATCAAATTTTATTTTTATTTTGGTCAAACACCGGTGACCAAGTGTTGTGCATCAATCAGCGCTTTTACTTCCTGTGTAGATTCACGATCCAGTTGAAGTCTCTCTTGCATACATCTTTAGGAAAGTCAGGCTTCAAGAGAAGATTTAACAGAAGCTTTCGCAGCGTCTTTTGTTGTCTCATATTACCTAAGTGAGTTCTAAGATAGAACCACGACCTTGCTCAGGATCCACATCACCAGAGAGAACTCAAATGCAAAGAGCGTATGAAGCAATCCCCTATCGAGTGCATATCCATAGAGCGTAATCCCCTTGTTGTTATGTCGCAGGTATTCCACTGCAATGTAACTCCCATCAATTGTTTGCAACTTATTTTGAAATAAGAAGAGCATGAAATCTCAATATAACGCACCTAGAGCTTGCCTAGCCTGGAAGAAGGAAGATAGATCCAGTGACGGTGACACATTAATGTATATGTTGTCGGATGAGTCAGTATCACTCTCGGGTGATACAGCTTCAGAAGCGCATGTCAAAGCCATGTGCCACCTTGTTGCAATACAGACTACTCCTTGAGCTCTGTGTGTGATTCTTGCAGCACCCAACACGCACAAGAAGAATCCGCTTAACTGTACTGCAGAACATACCTTGAGATAGAAGAATATGTATGCTTCATTAAATGCAGAGCGCTGAAACTTCGAAAATTATTACAACAAAGCTTTAGAAAATTACCACCAAATCACCAGAGCTGAGGAAACTCCTGTCAGACTTTGATGCAAGAACCAACAATAAGGCCACAAACTGACTGGTACTAATCACAACAAAGGCCGCGATGATGAAAAACCTGTACCTGTGGCTTGTAGCCGACAATTGTTTCTTGATCCTCACATGTTCCTTGCATACATCTTCTATGGTGTCTGATCCACATCTATCGAACAGCTTGTGAAGCCCTCGGAACCTCAGTATCTGTAGCTCACAGGTCAACCGGAACAGGATACAAACTAGCAAGAACACTCCTGTCCGGTAAACCCATGAAAATAAGACGAGGAAGAACATCACAAAGTTCAATGCAGCACAAGATGACTTTATGAAAGGAAATGATACTTCAGCGGAGGAGAAAAATATGCTCTTATGCACAAGTTCCACAAGGAAAGACGGTACAAGTATGTAGGCTAGGTAGCATAAGGCCTTGTCAAGTTCGCGCGAATATCCAAGCCTCACCAAGGTAGAATCATCAAGAAACAGAAGCTGTGTGAGACTATATATTCTGAAGAAACATATTAGAGTCAAGAAACCAATGACGGCAAGTCCAGACTCTGGAAATTGGACGAGCACATTGAAAGAGTTAACGTCCATAACTGATGAAGGCCAGGTTCTAGGAGTTTTGATGGACAGACAACTTATGAGAGGGACTAGTAAGGTGAATACTACAAACATCATATAGGACACAGCTTTACCAGAAGAGGAGGAGTGATCCAGAGCGCACCACTTGAGGAGAAGACGAAAGTTGCGCAAATCATCAGAAGGCAAGGATTTTGAAGGTTGTAAGGGTGTGTTAGAGAGGATTGGGAGGTGATGGTGAAAGTATTCATTTTCACCAGGATTCATATCTTTCCAGAGGAATCAAAGGGTTGAGGGATCACCAAAGTTATATATAGAAGGTCACTGCGAAAAGAGAAAATGACAATTCAAAATAACTACACCCACATGCAATGCAAGATATTTATAGGTATTTGGTAAGGGTCTTACATTTTTCATCACAAGCGATGGTTGATCAAAAAAGAGAAACTGGAGAGAAAAGCAATAGTAGCTTGCTTTGTCACGTGAAGTGAAGAACCCTCTCTCTCTTTCTCCTTTACTACTTTTGGGTAATCCAACTTGGCTGTGTATCTTTACCCGCAAGGTAAGTCTTTTCAAAGTCTTGATTCTAGTTAATATTTGCAGTTGAGAAACACGAGTGGTCTGCTATGCAACACTTTTCATCCACAACAAAATTAGCTGATAAAATTTTGTTTGCCTCTGTTGGGAGGAATTGTCTCAGTTTATTTAGGAATCAAAACACGGCTTGTGTTTTATGTGTAAGAACATGTTATGTGTCTGAAATTTGAAGATTCATATTCATTTTCATTTAGTTTTTGGCAGATGTCATTCTAGAAGTCAGAACAGTACCCTGGGACTGGTTACCGGCAAAATTTAGACTTCAAACTTTCTTCCAAACAACCGAAGACCACTGAGAACAACCCTGCAGAAGCAAAATTAAACGGACAATTCAGCTGTCTTCACGTTGGTAACTAACAGCGAAAGTTTTGGTACTTCACGATTTTGGTGAAGATCAGACGAATAGAAACAGTGAAGATTTTTCCAGCAACTTAGGGAAACCGAGCAAAATGACTAACCTGAGAGGGGACTATCTTTCTGCTGCAATGATCCTTTTATAAGCAACGTTCCTGGCATCTGTTGGAACACCTGTAATAGAAGTTTCTCCATCATACACCAATTTGAAAAGGTGAAGGCAATCGTTCGGGATTTATCAAATTAGATCCAAACTTACCAAGATGCGGAAAGATAGGTTATCTTCAGGGACTTGCAAACTGGATCCATCCAGTGACTGTTTGTCATATCCGTAGCTTCTTACACTATCTACATCTGTAATCCCATTCTTTGAGATTGAGTTGCACTGGTCATCAGATGCAACAATCTGTACAACAATAGAAGGAAACTCTGTTGAGCTTGAGATTCTGTAGAAACAAGCTTGGATGGCAAGACAAAAAAATACAGGTAGTGCACTTACGTCAACAGAAAATGTAGAAGAGTTTAATTTGCACGAGGCGCCACAGCTCTTGAAGAATTCTTCAACTGATTGAAGCACATCTACGGCACTGTACTGCCGTTTAATGCCCTATAAACACACAAATCCACCATGAAGAATGTAAAGCTTGACTAAAGCCCGAGACTTTTTATATAATTAGATAGCAAATAGATGTTACTTAAGCATGTAAAGGATGATGAAAGTTATAGATAGATTACCTCAAGCATAAAAGAAAGAACACTCTTTTTGACTACAGGAGGTGCTATAATCTTCCTAGCTGTGGGCATGAAGGACCAGGCGAGGCCCCACCGGGATGTTTGACCTTGGACAAATTCAGTGGTCTTCACAATGGTTACACCCACTTGCCAAAGCTTAGATATCAAGAGTTTGAGGTTAGCCTTCTTCCCAAGCATTGAAGTGTACCACCTAATATAAAACATGATCACAAAACGATAAGTCCTGATGAATGAAAAACCAGAATGTGAAAGATCCAAAGGTTTATCTGGGTACAGTTACCTGAATCTTTGCCTCAGTACAGTGCTATCTTCGATAATACAAGACACGAAAGCTTGCTCCCCACCATTGCAAACCATCTCCTCAGGAGTTCCACCACATGAAGTTTTAGGATTAAGTCCTGATTCTTCGAAGGTCTCAAAAAATGGAGGATTGGACATACAGAAGTCGAACGTTTCATTTTCCTTGACAACACCGAGTAATACAGCTGGTTCAGTATAGGTCTGGTTGTCATCTACAAGATTAATAGACTGAACCGTGGCGGAAATTTCGGCTTCCTCGTGTATGGTTAACTCACTCTCGGGAACAGAGGAACTCTGTGGAAGAACTTTAGAGTCTCTGATCTCGATAAGGTCTGAAATATGGGGATTACTTTTGACATTCTTCTCTGCCCATTCTAGAGCAACAGCAGTAAAATCTGCGTACAAAACAACATTGGCACCAAATTGAGAACATAAATGCGTAATGCAAATGAAGAATGATAAAAGAAGAAGAAGAAGAAACCTGAGCCAACAAAACTCCAACCAAAAAGAGATGCACCAAGGAGAGGATAAATGCAATTGGCCCCAGTACCAATGTCAAAGCCCTTTACTTCACCACCCAAACTTTGAATGACCTCAGAGGACAAAAGATCATTAATCCAATGAATGTAATTCGATCTATTAGGAACAGTTGGGCAAAGCTGTCCATCAGGAATCCACCTATACATGAAAAGACTTTGTTGGTACATAACTGTTCTTGAGAGCACAACAAAGCTAGTTCCTTTCTACAATTGAAACGTACCAGTTGACGCCGTGGTCGTGTAGAAGGAGGATACGAGTGAGCTCTCGGGTTGCGTTGTAATCGGTCCAGTCGATGCGAGCTCGGCCACCGGAGAAGAAAACAAAGGGCTTGAAAGAAGGGTAAAGAGACGCTAACGAGGCAAAATCGGGTGGGTTATCGGAGTATTTGTTTCGGGGTTTCTTTGTGGATCCAGGTTCTGAGCGACCTCTCTTCTTCCCGTTACGCATCGAAACCCTAAGCCGCCGGTGAAGTTGGTGAGAGAGAAGACAACGGCGGTGAATTGGAGTCAATGCGTTTAAAGCCTCTGGCTGAGTTAGCGGCTTTGAGAAGTTCGCCGGAAATTATATGCGTTCCCAACAAAACGACGCCGGATTTATTAATTACTTGTGGCTCAAATAAGTTCTTTTGTTTATTAACATATTTAGGTATTGTTTTATATTTTAAAATTAAATATCGTTTCATATTTTAATAAAAAAATTCAGTTTTAATCTTGCGATTTTAATTAATTAACCAATAGAAAAATAATACAATGTACTAACAGAAAATGCAAAAAAAAAAATGTTTTCAGACAATGTATGAAAAAATCTTAAACGATATTTATTACAAAAATAAATAAATCATATACCAGGTACATGTTTAGAAATAAATAAAACATTAAACAAAATTTAAGAATAAAACTCTAAAATATCTCCAACGGTTTTTTTATGTTTCCATTAGTCCCTGAAGATATTTAGAGTTTTATTAAACTCCAAAGTTGGGATGGGACTCTTTTAGGTGAGTTATGAGTTTTATTCAACATTGGTCTCAAATTCATCAAAAGGGTTTTTATATAGGCATCTCTGAAACAAATGACATCTCCAAAACTAATGATAGACATAACAAAATAGTCAATTTATCAAAAGAATATTCAATATAACTATGCGGTAGTGGACAATTTTCAAAGTCCCAATATATATTCGAACACCACCATCTCTTCAAGTGTTATATTTGGTAAAACAGAGGGTGTTCTTTGTAAGAAAACATTTGCTTCTCCCTCGAAAAAAAAGCTTTCGTCGAAACAATCCAGCAGTATTTAAATAGAAACTCAAAGATCCCGTAACTAGTCTTAACATCTTTTAAAACCCTTGGCGATTGAAATGATTTGCAAAACACAAACGCATTTCACACTTTCCTAAATTTAAAAGAGACACATTTAAAAGCTCAATCACTTACTTAATATATAGGTAGATAGAATCATAATTGATACTAATAAACTTAGTGGCCACAACTACTAGTAAGACAATATATGAACAAGACATTAACTAAACTCATCTTTTCATTGAATTATTATGCGTTAAACTAAAGATTTCAAAATTGGATACATCATTTGCATGTTGAGGAATACATGAGGAATTTGTGAGGAATTAAAATTGGTTACATCATTTGCATGTAAATGATGTAACATGGGTTTTGAGGAATTTTTGAGGAATTAAAATTGGTTACATCATTTGCATGTTGAGGAATACATGAGGAATTTGTGAGGAATTGTTGATATTTCAAAATTTTATATTTGTTTTTAAGTTGTTAAATAAATTAATCAATTTAACTATTATTAAAACTAAATGATAATTAAAATTATAATATTTAATTTAATAATAGAAGACTTCTACTAAAAGTTATGGGGCTTTTGCAAAAATGCTCCTTTTCAAAAATGCTCCTTCTTTAAAACTTTATAAAAAATGCTCTTAAAAATATAAGATTTACCCAAATATGTATGTAATATTATTAAAACATACACAAACTACAAATCTATGTATCTAAAATCTTATAAATACTTTATAAATACCTTATAAATGCATTTTAAATACCTTTAAAAACCTTTAAAATATCTTGTAAAACCTTTAAAAAACCTTAAAAATCCTTTAAAATAACTTGTAAAACCTTTAAAAACACCTTATAAAACCTTATAAATACTTGGATCGAGTCTTCAAGTAGTAGTTACAATCCATAAGTACTTTATAAACCTAATAAAACTTTATAAAAATTTCAGATTTAAAAAGGGGCATTTTTGAAAATGGACATCTAAAAGGGGCATTTTTGAAAAAGAGCACACAAAAAGGGGCATTTTTAACAATTTCCCAAAAGTTATTAGTAAGAAAAATTATAAACTAGAAAAATAAAATAGTTTAATTTTTATTGAAAAAGTAACAATTACTAGTTTATTTTATTATTTTATGCTTTTATATGATATTTACATTTGATAAAAAGATTAAATGTATCACATTCCTAATATTTTACAAATTTGAACATTTTTCAAATTAACTTATTATCTCATGTTTAATAAAATTATTAAATTATATAAAATTTCAAGTTTAATATTTTCATTTGTTTTTTATTTGCTCTTGTTGACAAAATAAAAAATTGGAATCTATATTTTCATATGTTTTGTTAACTAATTAATTAATTTTGAAAAATTCAGCTAGATTCAGCCGTTACCATTTGAACTCGAAGATATTCAGCCAGATTCTACAAAAAAATTATCATTAAATTCAGTTAGATTCAGCAATTCAGCCGGATTCCACGGTTACCATTTAAATTATTTATTTGTTTGGAAAGTGTAAATGCGCATTGACAAGTCCCATCGTACGTTACTCTTTTGACCACTCTTTTGAGATTTTGACTAACATAATACTAATTTAAAAAAAGTTTTGGGGTTACTATGTGAAAATACACTATTTTATTGGTACGAGAGCGTAAATTAAAAAAAAAAAAAAAACGGCACGCAGTTTGCGTTCCCAAAAATGTGGGACGACTAGTCAAAACATCTGCTTTCGTCCGTCAACTTTAATGTTGACTGAACCAGAATAATATTAAATTATTAAAATGGAATTTGTCTTTTTTCCCATTGTACCCTTCACACTCTGTTAGATCTTTTCGGGAGAAGAAGATAAGCTTTGAATGATTTATTTAAAAAAATACATAAATTCAACTCTTAGATTTGAATCTAACGGCTGAGAAACCTCCTGCAAAGCATCCCCAACCGTCCAGATCATAGCTGGCCCATCGCATCCTTTAGTTTCCCGAAAGGAAAAAATAATACAATCTCTAACATTAGCCTGGCCCATATCTTCCTTTTTTATAATATATTGTCAATTTTACTATTCAAACAAATTCGTATTTCTTTAAGTAAAATTTCTAAAAAAATTATTGCGTTTTGGAAAAAGTCAAGAAAATTATGCAGAAAAATAGAATATTCAATTTTAAAAATGGAAAATATCAAAATACGTTCGTTAAAAATGGGAATATGAAAAGAATTTTTAGAAAAAAAGTAAAGAATTTGGGGAATAATAAGTAAATAATGACGTGGCGGTGATACCCTCTGCCTTTGCACACATCTCTCGCAGATATAAACAGCGTCTGCTTCACGCCAAAGGAGAGAGAGAGAAAAGATCTGATCGGTTAGTTCGTCGGAGAGTTTTTGAATCAGAATGAGCGGCGGCGACGAAAACATGAGTGGTGGAGAGAGACGCAAGGGATCGGTGAAGTGGTTTGATACACAGAAGGGGTTTGGTTTCATCACACCTAACGACGGTGGTGACGATCTCTTCGTTCACCAGTCTTCCATCAGATCTGAAGGATTTCGTAGCCTCGCCGCTGAGGAATCTGTTGAGTTCGAGGTTGAGGTCGACAACACCGGCCGTCCCAAGGCTGTTGAAGTGTCTGGACCCGATGGTGCTCCCGTTCAGGGAAATAGCGGTGGTGGTTCATCTGGTGGACGCGGTGGTTTTGGCGGTGGTGGAAGAGGAGGCGGACGTGGTGGAGGAGGTTACGGAGGAGGCGGTGGTTACGGTGGTAGAGGAAGCGGTGGCCGTGGAGGAGGTGGTGGTGATAATTCTTGCTTTAAGTGCGGTGAACCAGGTCACATGGCTAGAGAATGCTCTCAAGGTGGTGGTGGTGGTGGATACAGTGGAGGTGGTGGTGGTGGTGGAAGGTACGGGTCTGGCGGCGGAGGTGGTGGAAGCTGCTACAGCTGTGGAGAGTCTGGGCATTTTGCAAGAGATTGCACTAGCGGTGGTGCTCGTTGAAGCAAACTAGACGGTGAAGAAGGGGTAAATCAGTCATCTCATACATGAAATCGATCCCTCTTCTCACTGACTTCTATCAAATATTATCTATCTTTTGTTATTCGACTCTCTCATGTTTTCGGATTTATTTAATTAGGGTTATGGTTATGGTGCCTTGTGATTTGAGTAAGAATTTGGATTGGTTTTATTGCATGTTTATCATACCTTTTGCTTCATGTGTCTCCTTGCTCTATTTCAAGCCTTCATAGAATTTATATTGGGTACACATTTTCTTGTCTACGAGAAGACTACAATCAATTTGTTTTCTTGATGAAAGATTTGCATTACTCCTAAAAGTTTTTGTTTTTTTTCCTTTAATTTTCAAACATGAAATACAATAAAAACAGACCAACTTTAGATGATGCTAAACGAGAACACCCAAAGCACTACGGCCTTGGTTGATTTAAAACGAACCCAAATCTCTAAATCTTCTGATCCGTGGAAAAAACGCCAACTTTCGTGGCAGCTGGGAACACTCTTGGGCCGGCTCTAGATTCGATGCTTATAATTCAAAGGCCATGAGTGTGATTGAAGTGAGGATGGCTGATGGGAGGAGGTGAGGCCATAACTGGTGGAGGGCACTGGTAGCATTTGGTGAAGAGGCCAAAGGTATCAATTTGGTGAACAAAATTGATCATACTAGCCCAACCACCGAACCCGAATCCAACAATGAACACCCACACAACTATGAAGGCGTTGATGGTGAAAGCCCCAGTCCACCGTCCTAGAAACCTCGGGGGCTGCTCCACGGCATTTTCACGTGCGGCGGAGGAGCGGAAGGTGAAGATATGAGCTAGTGCAGGGATGATGTAGACAGTGAAGCTGACGAGTAGAGATCCAACAGTTGAGTTAATGGGACCGAAGAAAGGGAATATGATAGCAAGAAACCAAATGGGTATAACAACAGGAAGCCTCGCGGCGGCTCGTTTACACATGCTTCGGCACTCATGCATCCCTATAAGCTTCTCCCACACAAAGTAGAGTGGCGTGCAAGCAAAACCAAAGGTAATGAACTGATGGATGAGCATGAGCACAACTGCAAAGTCACGGTAAAGATTCTTTGGGAGGAGAGCAAATGCGTTTGAATGGTTTAGAAGCAAATCACCAAACGCCCAATAAACCGCAGACGCAGAAGGCAGCGTTAGCGTCAGCACGTACAGTGTTGCAAAGAGGTATATGGACTTGAACTTCTGCGGTTTCCACATAGCATGCATTATCTCTCTGCCAACAACAACACAAAACAATGAAAGTGAGTGGTCATTTTCA